CAAACCCATCGAACACCTTTGGGATGAATTGGAACTGCGAGCCAGGCCTAATTGCCCAACATCAGTGCCGACCTCGCTTATGCTCTTGTGGCTGAATGGAAGCAAGTCCCCGCAGCAATGTTCCAACATCTAGTGGAAAGCCTTACCACAAGAATGGAGGCTGTTACAGCAGCAAAGGGGGGACCAACTCCATATTAATGCCCATGATTTTGAAATGAGATGTTTGACAAGAAGGTGTCCACATACTTTTGGTCATGTAGTGTATCAAATGTCCATTCACAAAGTGGATCTGACAGCAGCAGAAGCACTTGTACAGGACTAAACTGGTGCTGTGGCTCAAACTGTCATCATAGAGGTTCCTTTGTGGAGGCTGCAGTCAGTGGTAGAGGTCTTCACAGGTCCAACGTCTGAAATGGACCTGGGGCTTTCCCACCTGGACCCGATATTTACATTTTAGTCATTTAGCAGACACTCTTATCCAGAGCGACTTACAGTTAGTGAGTGCATACATTTTCATACTGGACCCCCGTGGGAAACGAACCCACAACCCTGGCGTTGCAAGCGCCTTGCTCTACCAACTGAGCTACAGGGGACATGCATAAATAAATGTTTCAAATATAGAGACCCGTTCCGAACGGACTCGAGGACAACTAGACCCGTTCCTTATAGACCTGGTTGGATCCAGACCCAGTCTCATCCGAGTGAGGGAAGCAGCAGAAAATTCATTTTTTTGAGTTACTGATAACCGGAGCTGATAAAGCGGGAGAGAGAGGTGCCGCTCTAGCAGGCAGGGGAGGGGCCGTACTGTGAGCGAGTGACACGGTTAGCAGGAAGGGAGAGATGTGAGACAGCAACCAACAAAGCAGACTCGCGCTATAGTAGACTAATAGCTGCCGTAGCTAGGTTATTTATCATCCAATATGATTGCTTAGTACCGGTCTTGACTGCATCAAACCGGGAGAAGCTAACATTAGCTAGCTAGGCTAATTGAGGCTGCAGTGCATGCGCTTTCTCATCCTACAGTGACAAATAACAACTCCATTCAGAATATTAAGTAGCAGCCTACCTGTTGGCTCATGCTCATTGTAGTCTATCCTTTTCCTTTCACTTTTAATTCCTTCATTGTAATTCCATCTTCCATTGATTAGATATATCCTAACTTTTGCCACACACAGAGGCTCTATGACTGTAGCCTATTGCCGCTTTGATGACTTATGATTGGCCAACAACAAGCTACACGCGCCATGCTCCGCTCTCGTGAAAAGGAAGAGCAGCAGCATCAATTATAACGTTTCTCTCTCTACTGCAGCAGTCGCATTCGGATCTGTACGGGCCCTTCCGGACAAGCCAGTTAAAATGTACACATACCTGAGACCCGTAACAATCAGATCCGACCCAGACCTGTGACATTATTTAGAATTCTGGATCCGGACCTGCTCGGGTCCCGGATTGGATCTCGGGTATTCGGGTACAGGTGGATCTGTGAAGACCTCTAGTCAGTGACTTTCGGACTGGGAAAGGACGACTGTGTCTGGAATGGCACCCTATTCCCTACGTAGTGTACTACTTTTCACCAGAGCCCTAATAGGCCCTAGTTATTCCCACTTGGCACTGGGAATGGACTTCTCTTATTTATACCCCCAGACAATGGCAGCATTGTGGCCCAGATGATGTATCATGGCAGGAGTTCCTGTCTGGCAAGGTTAAGTTAGCCATTACATGTGCCATGTGTCTTCTGGCGTCTATTTTCATGTTGTTGATGTTTGGCCACAAATGCACTGACGGTGTGGCAGTGTCAAGAAAAACATGTTGTCTGTGAAATGAAAAAATATAAATTACTTTTAGAATCAAACCCTCACAAAGAATCTGCAATGCTTTTGATGTGATCTTATAAACCATTCGTGTAATTGCATGCAGCAGTGGAACATGGCCAATTAGCATATGTTTTTTGTGTATAACAGTGTAGTTAACTTTACAGGTCTGTTTTTCTTACTGTTCTTTCATTTGTGGATGGTGTGGTGGGTTATAGTAGTGTCAGAGTATCTGAATGTGCTCTGTTGATGAGCTTGGACTAAATTCTATTTCTGCAGCTTTTTCACAGCCTGTTTAGGCAGCCTGTTGCACAATGCCCCATTCTTCATTCCAAGCCAAGTCTCATCACTGATTGTGGTTTGACTTGATGTTCTCATTTTGCTAAATTCTCCTATCCCCTATCCCTCCTACCAGGCGAGTCTCCTCATGTATGGATATTATTGCCTGATATGAGAGCAGAGGAAATACTTTATTCAAGGTCAATATTGAATTGTATCCCACTTGTTATTAGAGGTGTTACGAAAGGAATTCCATTTTCCTCAAGAAAGTAAACAAGTATTTTCACAGACCACTTAAGTTAATCATTAGGCTACTACTGCAGAATAATATTAGTAGATTATGAATTGAACTTTCTGTCTTTGCAGTATAGGATATTTTCAGTAGAAGGCCAGATAGCATATGAAAGCGAAATGTGTAGAATTGCAGGAAATTAACTTTATAACTGCATAATTTTCTCATGGCAAAATGTGAACAAAAGCATGAACTGAGATATAAAACAGCAACAAAAAATCTCTGCCCCATGACAAACAGTGTAGAATTGCAGGGAATTTAGCTGTAAACCCCTTACCCTCATCCTCTCCCCCTACCACCCAACACTCAACCCAAAAATGTTGGTTACAGCCATTCGGCATCTGCACAGTGCAGTGACAAGCACTGCTTGATTATGCGTTGTGTGGTTCCCCAGTAAAATGCCCTCTGTTGGCACTGATTTCTACTGCACACGACGCCAGCCAAGTGCAGAGCAAACAATCCCTGTGGATTTAGAATAGGGATGCTAGCAGGGGTAAACCTGAGCTCCATGGTGCTGTTGTATCTGCAGTAGATCGGGGAGCTGTGCTAAACCAACCCCAGCCCACGTACAGGTGCTAAGGCTCCTGAGTGGGAGGACTGAGCCTCCCAGAGATGTGGATGTATGAAACCTGCTGTTTCTCACTACCCCAGATAGTGTGTGTGTGTGTGTGCCTGCATTCACATTTTCTGTACAGAAATGGGCAGAAAGATTCTCGAGGAGTCTGGAGGCGTCTGAATACAATGTCGATGAATGAGAATTTTTAGATTTTTCTGGCAGCAACACCAGAGAATGCCTCCCTATAGTGGAGTTAACATAGACCGGTGTTTCCCCTATATTCATTTAGCTGCAGCTTTTAAAGGAATAGTGTAAGGTTTTGGCAATTAAGCAGTTTTTCGACTCATGGATACCATTATGTCTCTGCATGCACTTTGCAGGAAGTTGCTAACTAGCGTTAGCGCAATAACTGGAAGTCTATGTGAACAGCTAGCATGCTGGATGCCTACAGCTGTGTTCAGCAACAGGCGGCCTGAATTCAGCTAAAAATGAATTTTATTTAGTTAGTCTGTTTACCAGGTATTCCCACGAATAAAAGAGCCATGTGAGTGTGTCTCAATGTAATCAAGGTATAAAATGATTATTTTCAAATTCAATCTCTTTTTGGGTTTAGCTGGGGTCAATTTGCAGTGAACAAATTATTATAATTGTTCCGGACCCCCGACCATCCGCTCCGACAAAAATCGTCCCGTGGCTGAATCAGTTGCCTACCGCTGGTTCCCATAGACTTCCAGTCATTGCGCTAATGCTACCTTCAACTTCCTTCAAACTGCACGCTGAGACAAAAATGGTATCCATGAGTTAATGTGACTCTTTGTGAGTAGAAGAAATGCTTAATTGCCAAAATCTTGTACTATCCCTTTAAGATCAGTGACAAGTTACAACATATTTGTAGCAAACAGAGCGACCAGTGGGGTGAATGAGAGCCACGAGCACACAGCCATTGCTTTCTCCTCATCATCTCCATATAGTGCAGTGGTGCGCATCAGTTATATTTCAGATGGTGTCAACAGTTAAATTTTCATGCATTTTGGAGTAGAATGTATTTTTCAAAAGTCACCAGAAGTGACCTTCTCACAGTCGTTCTACAAAAAAATCTCCCAGGGGGCATGTGCCCGGACCCCGGCAGCAAAGAGCACAAACTCCACCCCCCTCCCCTGCTATCTTTGCCACTGCTGCTGAAAATAATCCTAGGGGAAGCACTGCATAGAAAGACAGACAAAACTACTTGTGTTAAAACAAGACATAGGATGTTTTTCTTTGTAAAAAACCTGGTTGGTTTTAGTGCTCGTCTATTTCTGGCAGGTACACAGTGCTGGAGTCTAGTTCAGGCTACAGATGCATAATATCAGCCTGTTTTCCACTCGGTGGTGCAAGACTTTGATGTTGAAAACCCCTGGGCACTGATATTTAGAGGACGTCCACATAAAACACCTTGTCTCCCCATCGTTGGGCCAGTCCACCATCCATCAAGCTGTTAAAATGCCTCTTTTTAAGTGGATTTAGGTAATAGCTAAACAAAGTGTGGAGCTACCTACCACGGGTCATAAATCTGAGGATTTAATTGCACTGATCGCTGATACCTTAAGCCACTGCAGCTGTAAAAGCTGTCCTGGTCCCATCTTTTTACCCTAACATATCCTCTTAAAAACCTAATTTTGTCATGTGGGGAAGGCTTTACTAAATATGGGCTATGACAAACTGGACTGTAATGAGACCAAATTGAATGGACGCTGTTGCTAAAATGTAAATGTAAGAGAAGGGTACTTGTCTGACCTTGTGCCAATAGGAAGGAACAGGCCGTTCTAGAATAAGACTTTGTGACAGGTGTCATGGTGTTTTAAGCCACATTTGGGCCAACAGAAAGAGTGATTTAACTATGAAATGGAAAGATTGCTGTCAAACCTTCATACCAACATAACGTGGTCATAGTGACGTATCTAATAACATAACACGGTGGCAGACGTGGGATCCATATATCTAATAATGTAACAGTAATAAAGTGCTGTCTCTTCTTCTCTGTGATGTCTGTTCTCCAGTGGTGTGTGAGAGGACAGCAGCCATGCCACCCCACTCTGACATCGTCAAGGTGGCCATCGAGTGGCCCGGTGCCAACGCCCAGCTCATCGAGATTGACCAGGTCAGTGCCCGTCTAAAAACCCCACTAAAGGACAAGACATACCAACATGAACGTCGGTCATGCGCAGTAGATTACCTGCTGGGTATCGGCGAACGGTGTTGATTCAACATGTAGAATCGTCGGGAAATTAACAGAAAAATGAGGGCCGATGTTCTGTGGTCAGAGGCGATAGGACGGCCAGCCGCTGTGCATGGCTGATGTTTGTGTTGGTTGGGCTTGTCCTTAACAGCATCAATCCTCCACTCTGTCTACTCAACCAAACGTTTTATAGAAGTCTATTTTCCCTGTGCCAGCGACTTTAAACTCCTGTGACTCCCATGTTAAATAATTGTAGGGAAAAGACAGCTACAGTATGTTTCTGCTCAGACAAGCATAAACTACTGAGATTTTGTTGGTAAGTCTAGCACATCTCTCGACTCTCAGCATGAACTGCAGTGTATGTCGCCGGCAATGACATTAAAACAAATCCATCAACGTTTATTTTCCACTGAATGCCAAGCTAGGCAAGGAATGAGAACCATTGTTGAAGTTACTATAGGGCAGCGTTTCCCAAACTCGGTCCTGGGGACCCCAAGGGTTTTGGTTTTTGGTTTTTGCCCTAGCACTACACAGCTGATTCAAATAATCAAAGCTTGATGATGAGTTCATTATTTGAATAAGCTGTGGTAGTGCTAAGACAAAACCCAAAATGTTCACCCCTTGGGGTCCCCAGGACTGAGTTTGGGAAGCACTGCTATAGGGCCTTTTCTGACCAATCAGCAACTTTCCTGTGATTCCAGTGGCTTTTCTGAGTTTGACTGGTTTTTGTCTGTCTGTTGTGTGTTTGCAGAAGAAGCCTCTGTCCTCTATCATACGGGAGGTGTGTGATGGGTAAGCACCAGCTTCACACCCAGCTGTTTCTGCTCACGCTGGAGATAATGGCCGCACAATGTTTACCACTGATTTATATGTGTGTGTGTGATATGAACACGCACGTGAACACAGACATACACACACACAGACACACACTCTGCGTTCACTTATGTAAGATTAGTGCTAGCTAGACGGACTCAGTAGGAGCCAAATGTATAGCAGGTCCATAATGAGAACACACAAACATTAGTATGAGTCATTACACATGGACTGGATCACACATGAGCTTCATTACAATGCTTATTATAAAATTACATCTTTAAGGGTCTATATATATATTCTATATTCTAATATATTACCCTGTGTAGAAATGGAACAGTTTGTGCCTGTTGGCATACTGCAGAACGTTCTGCACACAATACAAAAAATTATATTTGATTGCCTTCTACATTCTTGCTCTATCATACCCATTGATTCACTATGCTACATTATCGCACAAGTTTAGAATGCTATTGCATTCTGCACTTTTGAGGTGTAGATATTACTACAATAACACACCAGGCATTTTTAGTGTAATCCCCAGATACACATGAATGCTGCGGTATTCCACCCTTTACTCACATACCACTGCCAATAAACACACACCTCTAGCCAATACACTGATAAAGGAGGTCTAATGGCTCACAGATGGGGGCCAGACTTTAACTTGCAATGTGTTTTTATGCTTACATAACCATTCTGATTTCTCTCTCTTTCTCTCTCCTCTCTCTCTCTCTCTCTCTCTCTCTCCTCTCTCTCTCCCCCTGTCTGTCTGACAGTTCAAATCCCCTCCTTTCTCTTTTCGACTCGTTCTCCCCGAGTGCCTCCTCTCATTGCCTTTCCATTTCCTCTCTTTTGTCTCCTGGTCCAACTTGACTGTCCATCATAAATACTGAGACTTTTGCTAACTCGCTACTTCTCCTTATCCCTCTCTCTCCATCTCTCTCCTATGCTTCCTCCTACTCCCTCGCTCTCACATCTGAATGCATTTTCTTTCTTAACACTTAACGCCCCCTGAATATCGCCCTGTACAATCTTCTCCATCTGCTCCTCTGGCAAATAGAAATGCTAGAGGCTCCAATAATGACTTTTATTAACCTTATGCACATGGTATGTATTTTCTGTAGGGTGGAAAAAACATTACTGTAGGTCCTATTGAGATACGTGTGGGTTTAGCTTCTGTCTGCCTTATGTTTAAGGAGGTCAGTGCACTCTGGTATTGAGCGGAAAATTGGTGAATTCAGTCACCTACTTTTCAATAGATTTTGTGTGTGTGTCCACAGCTGGTCTCTGTCTGGCTCTGAGCAGTTTGCCCTGCGTTATGCTGACGGTCCTCAGCTCTACATCACTGAACAGGTGAGCTTCAGCACCTTGGCAGAATTCATTACTATAATACACTACATGGTTCCTTAGTTAGTATGTTACTGTTATCGTTAGTACACTACATGACCAAAAGTATGTGGACACCTGCTCGTCGAACATCTCATTCCAAAATCATGGGAATTAAAATGGAATTGGTCCCCCCTTTGCTGCTATAACAGCCTCCATTCTTCTGGGAAGGCTTTCCACTAGATGTTGGAAAATTGCTGCAGGGACTTGCTTCCATTCCGCCACGAACATTAGTGAGGTCGGGCACTGATGTTGGGCGATTAGGCCTGGCTTGCAATTTCTCCCAAAGGTGTTCGATGGGTTTGAGGTCAGGGCTCTGTGCAGACCAGTCAAGTTCTTCCACACCGATCTCGACAAACCATTTCTGTATGGACCTCGCTTTGTGCACAGGGGGCATTGTCATGCTGAAACAGGAAAGGGCCTTCCCCAAACTGGTTCCACAAAGTTGGAAGCACAGAATCGTCTAGAATGTCATTGTATATGGTAGTATTAAGATTTCCCTTCACTGGAACTAAGGGGCCTAGCCCGAACCATGAAAAACAGCACTAGACCATTATTCCTCCTCCACCAAACTTACAGTTGGCACTATGCATTGGGGCAGGTAGCGTTCTCCTGGCATCCGCCAAACCCAGATTCGTCTGTCGGACTGCCAGATGGTGAAGCGTGATTCATCATTCCAGAGAACGCGTTTCCACTGCTCCAGAGTCCAATGGCGGCAAGCTTTACACCACTCCAGCTGACGCTTGGCATTGTGCATGGTGATCGTAGGCTTGTGTGCGGCTGCTCAGCCATGGAAACCCATTTCATGAAGCTCCTGACAAGCAGTTCTTGTGCTGACGTTGCTTCCAGAGGCAGTTTAATTTTAACGCGCTTCAGCACTCTGCGGTCCCGTTCTGTGAGCTTGTGTGGCCTACCACTTTGCGGCTGAGCCGTTGTTGCTCCTAGACGTTTCCACTTCACAATAACAGCACTTACAGTTGACCAGGACAGCTCTAGCAGGGCAGAAATTTGACGAACTGACTTGTTGGAAAGGTGGCATCCTATGACGGTGCCACGTTGAATGTCACTGAGCTCTTCAGTAAGGCCATTCTACTGACAATGTTTGTCTATGGAGATTGCATGGCTGTGTCCTCGATTTTATACACCTGTCAGCACGGGTGTGGCTGAAATAGCCAAATCCACACATTTTAAGAGGCGTCCACATACTTTTGTATATATAGTGTATGTCATATCACCAATATCAAGTTTTGTTTTGTTGCTACAGCATCATGCTGTGGTAGTAGCAATGTTCACCATCTTTCTTTCCAGAGCCATAGTGAAATGAAGAATGGGACCATCCTTCGATTAGCCGTATCTCCTGTGAGACACTTTCTCTTCTTGTACATGCAGTTACTTTAATTTTCTTCAAGTAAATGACCAGTATTTCTTAGGTAAATTTTATTAACTCTATATAATGACTGCATTGCTGCAAAGCTCATAGTTTCACCAATGATAAACAGGGAGAGGCTATACAGACACGCCTTGTGCCCAAAATGGATAACGTATGTCGGGCAGTGAGAGTTGAGTGGGTGGATTCGGTTCAGTCAGTCGTCCTGATGAGCCCTTCCCAGCTAACTAGTTTATGCTTGTGGCTAGAAACTTCAGTGAGAATGTGAAACTTGTCTGCCGAAGTTGGGACTTGGGAGTGTTAAGAATCATTCCGTTTTTACCGGACTACAAAATCAACAAATGTGCTTTAGCTGCCTGTCACCCTGGCCTGATATTAGCTACACTATAGCTACTTCCCTCAAAGTGAGTTACTGCAGGACAGCCAGAAGGTAGGGAATTGCCCCGTGTAGCTCAGTTGGTAGAGCATGGCATTTGCAATGCCAGGGTTGTGGGTTCGATTCCCACGGGGGGCCAGTATGGAAATGTATGCACTCACTAACTGTAAGTCGCTCTGGATAAGAGCGTCTGCTAAATTACTCAAATGTAAATGTAAAATGTAAGGTACCTTTACGCTTGTTTACACTGAGCTGCACTGGCGTCGGAACGCAATCATGGTTACATTAAGACACCGTGGAGCCGGCGTGAGATGTGGGTCGGAAAATGTACCTCAATTCAGGGATTGGTTATGCCACTGTACTCCACACTGCTCCATAGAGAAGCTTGAAATACTGGTAGTTTTTCCGGAAAACTGCCCTTTTCATCCTCATACTAGCTAGCAGTAGCCACCGCAGCCAATTTTGGAATGGCAGTGTCAGCCAATCAGCTCATTTGTTGTTCCAACGCGACATGCCATTCCATAATGGCTGCAGTGGCTACTGCTAGCTAGCATGAGGATGAAAAGGGCAGTTTTCTGGGAAAAACTAGCAGTATTTCAATCTTCGCGATGGAACAGTGTGGACAATGGTAAAATTTGGAGTATAGTGGTATATCCCATCCCTGCATTAAGGTACATTTTGCTATCCATATTGCGAGTCAGCTCCACGGTGTCTTAATGTTACCATGAATGCATTCCGACCCCAGTGCAGCTCAGTTTAAACAAGCATAAGGGTAGGGTAGGTATCTTCTCGTAGGTTTGGGCGGTATACCTTATACCGGGTTATTTGGAAAAAGCCACTAGATGGTTTTTCAATAAATGTGAATATTTGTAGCTACTTTTTAAGTCAATACCTGCAGTCAATTTGTGCAATACCTAAGGAGATAAAACAGATTGTGTTTTTAATTTCACCTGTCACATTATTTTACATTATGAAGCTTACCATAGTTTCTCAGAACAGTTGAGACAGTCACGTGTTTGTTTATAAATAGCACAACGGGGGATGGCGGGAGCTGGTGAGTCCATAGCGTTCTAGATCTATCGGCGAGTCTCTGTTGTGCGGCGCACAGGAGGTGATGAAGTTACACTATTATGCAATTCCCTACTAAATGTTTGCCATCAGATATCTTATAATGGCTTTCTGCCAGAAGTCAAAGAGCTCTAGAGGTTGTCTGTACAGCCTACATTTTTCTTTATGCTTCCTACTAGCGTTTTTTTTTCCTCCTCCGTTCTTCTCCCCTCTGCTCCGTGTACACATTCTGCTCTTCCTTCAGAAAAGCATTAATCACAACTTTGTTCATTTGCACAATTTATTTAGTACATTTTCACTTGTAAATGTCCACACTAATCGAAAATGTCTTTGTAATTAGTTTATGTTCGTTTTCGCTCGTTAGCATTTAGCTAACAGCGTCTATGTGATTTAACTATTAGTTTGTGCTTATTTTGTTAGCATTCTGGAAACAGAGGCCCAATGGGCTTTTCTTACGTTTTTAGCGCCCCCTTGTTTGCTATGCCGGTAATACCGTAAATCCCAGGATAAGAGAAGGACGGTATGACAATATGAAAATCTGGATACCCTGGTGGCACAAAATAATCAAAAGGTCTGACTGCACAGAGATGCTTGGGAAAATAGTCACAACGGAGGACCACCGTGTGTGTGTTTCAGCGGAAGGGGGTGTATCTGAGCTCCATCAGCTAGGACTTGACATTGGTTAATCAAATCTCCCCTTTGCTCAATTGTGCATGCCTTCTCAAACAGCTACAACTGTATATGCATTTGAACATCAAGTCTTCTCTGGAGTTGGGCTATATATATTTTATTTGTTATATTTTTATAACTGTAATCAAATCAAATCAAATTTTATTTGTCACATACACGTGTTTAGCAGATGTTATAGCGGGTGTAGCGAAATGCTTGTGCTTCTAGCTCCGACAGTGCAGTAATATCTAACAATTTCACAACATATACCCAATACACACAAAACTAGTAAGGAATGGGATTTAAGAATATATACATATATGGACAAGCAATGACAGAGCAGCATGGACTAAGATACATACACACAAAAAAAAAATGTATGCACGCATGACTGTAAGTCGCTTTGGATAAAAGCGTCTGCTAAATGGCGTATTATATATTATTATTATTATACAGTAGAATATTATAGAATAGAATGCAGTATATACATATGAGATGAGTAGTGCAAGATATGTAAACATTATTAAAGTGACTAGTGTTCCATTTCTTAAAGTGGCCAGTGATTTCAATAGGCAGCAGCAGCCTCTAGTGTGATAGTGATGGCTATTTAACAGTCTGATGGCCTTGAGATAGAAGCTGTTTTTCATTCTCTCAGTCCCAGCTTTGATGCACCTGTACTGACCTCGTCTTCTGGATGATAGCGGGGTGAACAGGCAGTGGCTCGGGTGGTTGATGTCCTTGATGATCTTTTTGGCCTTCCTGTGACATCGGGTGTTGTATGTGTCTTGGAGGGCGAGTAGTTTGCCCCCGGTAATGCGTTCGGCAGAACGCACCACCCTCTGGAGAGCCCTGCGGTTGTGGGCGGTGCAGTTGCCGTACCAGGCGGTATACAGCCCGACAGGATGCTCTCAATTGTGCATCTGTAAAAGTTTGTGAGGGTTTTAGGTGCTAAGCCAAATTTCTTCAGCCTCCTGAGGTTGAAGAGGCTCTGTTGCGCCTTCTTCACCACACTGTCTGCGTGGGTGGACCATTTCAGTTTGTCGGTGATGTGTACGCCAAGGAACTTGAAGCTTTCCACCTTCTCCACTGCGGTCCTGTCGATGTGGATAGGGGGGTGCACCCTCTGCTGTTTCCTGAAGTCCACGATCATCTCCTTTGTTTTGTTGATGTTGAGTGAGAGGTTATTTTCCTGGCACCACACACCCAGAGCCCTCACCACCTCCCTGTAGGCGGTTCTCGTCATTACCCTCACCTCAATTGTATACAATACAATTGAGGTGAGGGCGTTGGAAATGCTTTTGGCAGTTAATCTGCTTCTGTTCTTGGGTGACACTGTGCTCTTTTTAAAGGATGGGTCCCAATCTCTCAAAGGCCCTAGGATCCAGGTGGACAGGGGTGGTCTGCCAGTCACTGGGACGACAACCCAAATTGGGATGAGGGGAGGTTTAGTGGAATAGTGGAGAACAATTGGAGGTTTACTTAGTAGCAGTGCAAATATCATGGTACAGTTATATGGACACTCAATCATTATGGTACTTTTTAATGGTAAGTTTACAAACCTATATTATGATAAATAGAATTGAAACTTGTATCTCATTATGATAAATGGTGAAATAAGTATAGCCAGTTATAATTGTAATGGCTTAGCAGATAAAAAGAAAAGACGTTCAGTATTTACCTGGCTAAAAGAGAAGGAATATAATATATATTGTTTGCATTCAGAGACTTGTCCCGAAGCCACTCCTGCGTTGTCTTGGCTGTGTGCTTAGGGTCGTTGTCCTGTTGGAAGGTGAACCTTCGCCCCAGTCTGAGGTTCTGAGCGCTCTGGAGCAGGTTTTCATCAAGGATCTCTCTGTACTTTGCTCCGTTCATCTTTCTCTCAATCCTGACTAGTCTTCCAGTCCCTGCTGCTGAAAAACATCCCCAAAGCATGATGCTGCCACCACCATGCTTCACTGTAGGGATGGTGCCAGATTTCCTCCAGAAGTGACGATTGGCATTCAGGCCAAAGAGTTCAATCTTGGTTTCATCAGACCAGAGAATCTTGTTTCTCATGGCCTGAGTGTCCTTTAGGTGCCTTTTGGCAAACTCCAAGTGGGCTGTCATGTGTGCCTTTTACTGAGGAGTGGCTTCCATCTGGCCACACTACAATAAGTGATGCAGAGATGGTTGTCCTTCTGGAAGGTTTTCCCATCTCCACAGAGGAACTCTGGAGCTCTGTCAGAGTGACAATTGGGTTCTTGGTCACCTCCCTGAACAAGGCCCTTCTCCCCCGATTGCTGAGTTTGGCCTGGTGGCCAGCTCTAGGAAGAGTCTTGGTGGTTCCAAACTTCTTCCATTTAAGAATGATGTAGGCCACTGTTCTTGGGGACCATCAATGCTGCAGAAATTTTACCACACATGGACTCCGATCAAGTTGTAGAAACATCTCAAGGATGATTATGGAAATAGGATGCACCTGAGCTCAATTTCGAATCTCATAGCAAAGGGTCTGAACACACAAGGTATTTCTGTTTTTAATTTTTTATAAATGTTCTAAGATTTCTAAAAACCTGTTTTCGCTTTGTCATTATGGGGTATCGTGTGTAGATTGATTTAAAAAATATTTTGAATAAGGCTGTTAACTCCTTCAGGACTGTTGGAAAAGCATTCCTCATGAAGCTGGTTGAGAGAATGCCAAGAGTGTGCAAAGCTGTCATCAAGGCAAAGGGTGGCTACTTTGAAGAATCTCAAATCTCTGATTTGTTTAACACTTTTTTGGTTACTACATGATTTCATATGTGTTATTTCATAGTTTTGATGTCTTCACTATTATTCTACAATGTAGAAAATAGTGAAAATAAAGAAAAACCCTTGAATGAGTAGGTGTGTCCAAACTTTTGACTGGAACAAATATATATATATATATATATATATATATATATATATATATATATATATATATATATATAACTCAGCAAAAAAAGAAACGTCCCTTTTTCAGTACCCTGTTTTTCAAAGATAATTCGAAAAATTCCAAATAACTTCACAGATCTTCATTGTAAAGGGTTTAAACACTGTTTCCCGTGCTTGTTCAATGAACCATAAACAATTAATGATATACATCTGTGGAACGGTCGTTAAGACACTAACAGCTTACAGACGGTAGGCAATTAAGGTCACAGTTATGAAAACCTAGGACATTGAAGAGGCCTTTCTACTGACTCTGAAAAACACCAAAAGAAAGATGCCCAGGGTCCCTGCTCATCTGTGTGAACATGCCTTAGGCATGCTGCAAGGAGGCATGAGGACTGCAGATGTGGCCAGGGCAATAAATTGCAATGTCCGTACTGTGAGACGCCTAAGACGGCGCTAAAGGGAGACAGGATGGACAGCTGATCGTCCTCGCAGTGGCAGACCACGTGTAACAACACCTGCACAGGATCGGTACATCCGAACATCACACCTGCGGGACAGGTACAGGATGGCAACAACAACAGCCCGAGTTACACCAGGAACGCACAATCCCTCCATCAGTGCTCAGACTGTCCGCAATAGGCTGAGAGAGGCTGGACTGAGGGCTTGTAGACCTGTTGTAAGGCAGGTCCTCACCTGACATCACCGGCAACAACGTCGACTATGGGCACAAACCCACCGTCGCTGGACCAGACAGGACTGGCAAAAAGTGCTCTTCATTGACGAGTCGCGGTTTTGTCTCACCAGGGGTGATGGTCGGATTCGCGTTTATCGTCAAAGGAATGAGCGTTACACCGAGGCCTGTACTCTGGAGCGGGATCGATTTGGAGGTGGAGGGTCCATCATGGTCTGGGGCGGTGTGTCACAGCATCATCGGACTGAGCTTGTTGTCATTGCAGGCAATCTCAACGCTGTGCGTTACAGGGAAGACATCCTCCTCCCTCATGTGGTACCCTTCCTGCAGGCTCATCCTGACATGACCGTACAGCATGACAATGCCACCAGCCATACTGCTCATTCTGTGCGAGATTTCCTGCAAGACAGGAATGTCAGTGTTCTGCCATGGCCAGCGAAGAGCCCGGATCTCAATCCCATTGAGCACGTCTGGGACCTGTTGGATCGGAGGGTGAGGGCTAGGGCCATTCCCCCCATAAATGTCCGGGAACTTGCAGGTGCCTTGGTGGAAGAGTGGGGTAACATCTCACAGCAAGAACTGTCAAATCTGGTGCAGTCCATGAGGAGGAGATGCACTGCAGTACTTAATGCAGCTGGTGTTCATACAAATATTTACACATTTTAAGTTTGCTGAAAATAAACGCAGTTGACAGTGAGGACATTTCTTTTTTTGCTGAGTTTATATATGGGGGGATTGAAAATGATGAGGATAATTACATTGATGGAAGCCACTATCTATCTGCAATAGTAAAGCTGATCTACCCCCAAAAAAAATTACTATCTTAAAATCTGGATACCACCCAAGCCTATCTTCTGGCTTAGGACACGCTGTGCCCCGTGTTGTTGTGTTGCCGGCTTGCAGTGCAAACTCTCCTTATTGAGTAGCAGTAGACTGTATCACGGCGACATCCAGATGGTTACAGCAAGTTATTACAAGTAATTTCTCATGTAGGCCGTTATCCTACTCGAAAATATAATAAAGTATGGAACAAATTGGCCACGTTAGCTAATGCCAGCGACGTTATGCTGCTGCCCGGTGAAGCAACTGCTGCCCAGTGGGAAGCAACAATGGGAAGCAGTGAAGCACCTCTATACAACATACAACACCGTTGCATTGGTCATTCACACCGGCTTGTGGTTACGTTAGCTAATTGGCATGTCACGTGACATCCAGATTCCAGATGGTGACCAATACTAAGTTATTTCTCCCTCGCCCATTAAAATAAACATCACTTTCTTTTACAAGTTTTAACTGGCGCCATGCTGTTGTTGTTGCCAGCTAGCCAGCGTAAACTAGCTAGCTGGAAAGGGCTCATCAGGACGACTGTCTGAACTGACTGAACTGTATCCATTCGTCTCCACTCGGCTCTCAGCTGCCGTATAGCATATCCGTACAGCTTCTCCCTGATAAACAGTTCACAAAAATGGTAGCTGCTTTAAACTAACCATGTTGCCGAGTTATACGTTTCGGTCGCTGCCTACATGTATCAAGCTAATGTAGTCGTTGAGGTAAACCAGGTAAAAAACTGTCAATAATGGCCACCATCGGCATGCCTGATCCCCCACCCCCCCACAATAGGCCCGTGCAGCGCGGCAGCTCCTGGACAGGATCCAGTCTCACGGCATAGACGCCCGCCTGGAGGCCCTGAAGGAGCTGGCCAAGCTGTCAGCTGACCCCACCTTCGCCACTGAGTTCATCAACATGGAGGGCATCGGGACCCTGGCGCGGCTGGTGGAGAGCGGCACCCAGTGAGTTTCATACAGTGTATGGTGAATTGCCACTAGATGCTGATCTTGGGTCAGTTTTGCATTTTCCCCACTAATGATCAAGGTAAGGATTGGGGAAGCTGATCCTAGTTCTTTACCTAGGGGAAACTTCACCCCGGAGCAAGTCTCATTATAAAGTCATAGGTCTTGTACAGACAGACAAGCCATGGGTCTATTGTAGGCTACATACCACACCATAGACATGAATGTGAATGTGTCTAAAGGTAGCGCAGCCCTTGGGCTAGAAACCTTTCCAGATATGGTTGCCATGGGCTAACACTGATTGCCCTATACTGATACCATGCTGTTTGTGGCTGCAGTTGTTTTGTCTCTTTTCCCCTTCAGTTGGTGAGTGTTGTCCTCTGACTCTGTCTCCTCTCTCCTCATCAGCTTTGGGGAGATGCTAGCCTTCACTCTCACCGCCTTCCTGGAGCTGATGGACCATGGAATAGTGTCCTGGGACCTCATCTCTCTGTCTTTCATCAAACAGGTCAGAATCCCATACCTGCCTCAACTAAACAGTTCAGGCTGCATCAATCGGAAATGCTATTACCTATACAGTGCACAACTTTCGACCAGGGCGCATAGAGCTCTGGTTAAAAGTAGTGCACTTCATAGGGAATATGGTGCCATTTGGGACGCAGACACTCTACATAACACTTGTCATATAAGGAAGCTACTATCAGATTCCTACACCATCCACAATGGAAGTAAGACGCAATGTATTTCTGACTTATTTTGATGAAACTTGGCCATATACAGTATGTGAACTATCTTTCTCAGTTTAAACACTGGTAAATGAGTTTGGGTGGTTTGAGTAGTTTGAGGCCTATCTTGAAGTCCTCCCCCATGTTTTTTTCTCTTTTCTTTAATTACTTGACCTTCAACCCCTCATTGGCTGCCAGAACTGAGTTGGTTGCTGTTACCTAGCAACCCCTCCATGTTATTTGGAGCTCTTTCAGCTGAATTGTCTGTGAATAGTTTTCACCCTGATGAAGTCCTCTGACGTGCTGCACAACAACAAGCACTGTAGAAGTAAGATAAGTAGTTTTCTATAGGCTGTACATTTCTGCACAAGTATGGATAGTTTGTTTTGTCAACTGTATGTCATTTGATAGACCTATGTTTCAAGTCCTAATATCAAGCTTTCAAATCTACTTCAGAAACCTAGCTGTAATCAAGAAGACCCTAGATTTGTGTGTCCATTTTAATGGAATATTTCCCTCCTCTCCAGATTGCGGGCTACGTGAACCAGCCGATGGTGGACGTGTCCATCCTGCAGCGCTCTCTGGCCATCCTGGAGAGCATGGTCCTCAACAGCCACAGCCTCTACCACCGGGTGGCGCAGGATATCACTGTTGGACAGCTCATCGGACACCTGCAAGTGTGAGCACACACACACGCACTGGGGCCTCCCACATACAGCTATGTGGGGGATGTAGTCGGAGTTAGTATGTAGAAATGTAGTGGCGTGACTTACTAATATTGGAGCGATAGAACGTAGATAACAAGCCTTGCCTTGCTCCGCATCCTTGTGATGATGACTAAGCTTAGAATTGTAGAACCCCAGACTAATACTGAGTACTGTACTAATACATTTAACCAGTTGCCACTTTAGTTTTTGTAACCATGTGAGAATTCCTAGAACCAGATGCTTCTAGAACCAGATGCTTCTAACTGGTATTGCTGTGTCTGATGTGCCTTTTTAGATCCAATCAGGAGATCCAGACGTACGCCATCGCACTCATCAACGCCCTCTTCCTCAAGGCACCGGAGGATAGACGGCAGGTCAGTACAGTACCTGCTCACCAGCACACCGGAAGGGTACCCTTGCAATATACACTACATGACCAAAAGTATATGGACACTAGGGCTGTTACGGTGACCGTAATACCACCACACCGGCGATCACGAGTCATGACGGTAGTCAAATTCCACATGACCGTTTAGTCATGGTAATTAGGCCTCTCCAAGCTCTGATGCTGCTCATGGTCATTAGTAGCCTACCAAACCTTCTAACTGCCTGGTACTCAGCACGCTATTGTCCCTCTAATCACTCTGACATCAATGCAAAGGGAATCGAAAATCTAATCAAGCACTTCATGAGAGCCCATGAGCTCATGTTGCGCAACATTTCTATAGGCTATGCAATTGCGTGAGAAAACAGAGTTATGGCCTCTATTAAAAAGAGGATACCATCAGCTTTCTATAGACTAGGCCTGCTATATTTATTTATCAACTTTCCTAATATATAGGATAGCCTACCTGTCTGGCATGAAAATTAACCACGGGAAAAGCATCCTCCATTCGCTAGTTAAGTGCATAGATGACATGTATCGTTTTCCGCTGCCCCTGTTTCGAGACAGGTGCATGATAATGGTCCATTCTCAATTACAACAAATTTCACACATACAGTGCCTTCGGAAAGTATTCAGACCCCTTGACTTTTTACACATTTTGTTAGGTACAGCATTATTCTAAAATTGATCAAATTGTATTTTTTTCTCATCAATCTACACACAATACCCCATAATGACAAAGCAAAAACAGATTTTTAGAAACATTTGCTAATTTATTACAAATAAAAACCGGAAATATCAGACCCTTTACTCAGTACTTTGTTGAAGCACCTTTGACAGTGATTACAGCCTCTAGTCTTCTTGGGTATGACGCTACAAGCTTGGCACACCTGTATTTGGGGAGTTTCTCCCATTCTTCTCTGCATATACTCTTAAGCTCTGTCAGGTTGGATGGGGTGCGTTGCTGCACAGCTATTGTCAGGTCTCCAGAGATATTGGATCGGGTTCAAGTCCGTGCTCTGGCTGGGCCACTCAAGGACGTTCAGAGACTTGTCCCGAAGCCACTCCTGCGTTGTCTTGGCTGTGTGCTTAGGGTCGTTGTCCTGTTGGAAGGTGAACCTACACCCCAGTCTGAGGTCCTGAGCGTTCTGGAGCAGGTTTTCATCAAGGATCTCTCTGTATTTGCTCCGTTCATCTTTGCCTCGATCCTGACTAGTCTTCCAGTCCCTGCCGCTGAACAACACCCCCACAGCATGATGCTGCCACCACCATGCTTCACCGTAGGGATGGTGCCAGGTTTCCTCCAGACGTGAAACTTGGCATTCAGGCCAAAGAGTTGAATCTTGGTTTCATCAGACCAGAGAATCTCATGGTCTGAGAGTCTTCAGGTGCCTTTTGCCAAACTCCAAGCGGGTTGTCATGTGCCTTTTACTGAGGAGTGTCTTCTGTCTGGCCACTCTACCATGAAGGCCTGATTGGCGGAGTGCTGCAGAGATGGTTGTCCTTCTGGAAGGTTCTCCCATCTCCACAGAGGAACTCTAGAGCTCTGTCAGAGTGACCATCGGGTTCTTGGTTACCTCCCTGACCAAGGCCCTTCTCCCCCGATGGAGGCCACTGTGTTCTTGTGGACCTTGAATGCTGCAGACATTTATTTTTTATTTTTCTGCAGTACTCTTCCCCAGATCTGTGCCTCGACACAATCCTGTCTCGGAGCTCTACGGATAATTCCTTCGACCTCATGGCTTGGTTTTTGCTCTGACATGCAATGTCAACTGTGGCACCTTATATAGACAGGTGTGTACCTTTCCAAATCATGTCCAATCAATTGAATTTACCACAGGTGGACTCCAATCAAGTCGTAGAAACATCTCAAGGATGATCAATGGAAACAGGATGCACCTGAGCTCAATTTTCAGCTTTATTTATGAATTATTTATGACTATGTTTCCGGCTCGCCGCAATCCGCTCAAGGACGACGCTGTGTCGTGTCACATACTGTTGTGCTCTGCATTGCCATGCCATATCGTGCTGTGCTGTGCCTTACTGTACCATGCTGTTACCGTGCATGCTGTATCTTGTGATGTATGCCTGTATCTCGTGCACCATGTATAAGTGTGCACTATTTGTTTCCATTGACATCACCTGGAACCCCTCCTCCCAACCCACCCCCCTCAGGAAGAGCATAATAACCCCCTGGACCAGCGGCTCACTGTGAGTACACATCATCCCACAATCCTTCACTCCATCCCCTTAGCTTCCTCTTCTCTCTGATCCATAGAGAACCATGGGCTGCCACCCTCATAGTTCAATCCACTCAGATAAAGTCAGCGGGGGAATACAGTATGCAATCCTGTCATAGTCACTCTGGGTCCCCCTAGTGGTAGCAGCTGCATTCTGCACTATTAGAGATGTCTCACTGCGGATTTGTAACAGTTATGAACCCATTCAGGGCTTTGTGATATGACTGTAAGCCTTTCGTCAAATTAGCCTTTTGATAAGCTTATTGCCTAACTGTTTACGTACAGGCCTTGGTTTTGAGTCTCACTGTATTTGTCTATCTATCCCCCTATCAGGAGATGGCGAGCACCCTGGCCCAGAAACACCTGCGATCCATCATCCTCAATGTGAGTGTCAGGGAAAGCCTGAGTGTACTTGTCTTGGATAACCAGTCACAACCAAACAGCCCTTCATGATAACATAATTCTTTATAAACAGTACAGATCCAGAGCTGCTACTGCTCCTAATATGTGTGTCATCTCTCGCAGCACGTTATCCGAGGCAACAGACCAATCAAAGCCGAGATGGCGCACCAGCTCTACGTGCTGCAGGTGCTGACCTTTAACCTTCTGGAGGAACGCATGATGACCAAGATGGATCCCAGCGACCAGGTAAAACGACCAGAAGCAGTTTTTCTTTTGTATTCCCTGAGTCTTTTACCTCAACCCTTTTGACCCTATTGATGTTTTCTCATACCGTTTGATGTTTTTAAGTTCTGCACTCATCCATCTCCAGGCCCAGAGGGACATAATTTTCGAGCTGCGCAGGATCGCGTTTGACGGGGAGAACGACCCCAGTGGCATGGAGAAGAGAAAGGCCATTTACACCAAGGACTACAAGATGCTGGGCTTCACTGTGAGTCCAGCTAGTGGGCTGTTTTCATCTGTATAACTGCTCTGTAGAGGGGTTGTTTGGGTCGGAGAGTGTGTGGATGTGTTAAAATGGTTGTTTGGGGTCATAAAGGGATTGTTATGGGTCTGTCTGTGTCATTGACTCTCCTGTCGGTTGTCTCTCCAGAACCATGTGAACCCTGCCATGGACTTCACTCAGACCCCTCCAGGGATGCTGGCCCTGGACAACATGCTCTACCTGGCCAAGCTGCACCAGGACACCTACATCAGGGTGAGTCTGTGCGTCCCAAATGGCACCCCTGGTCAAAAGTAGTGCACTATATAGGGAACAGGGTGCCATTTAAGACTGAGCCTGTACCACACTCTACAGTGAAGGTTTTCTATGACACAAAGCTCTGAACAAATAAATTAAATATTTCAAATGGTAGAGCTTGAGTTTTCCCGAGTGTGACCAGATGTGTGTGTGTGTGTGTTTCTCACATCAGATTGTTCTGGAGAACAGCAGCCGCGAGGACAAACACGAGTGCCCTTTTGGTCGCTGTGCCATCGAGCTCACCCGTATGCTGTGTGAGATACTACAAGTGGGAGAATTGCGTGAGTACACTTCTCGCACCCTCACACGGACTCAACACATTACGATGGTTTTAAGGCTGACGTGGCATTCAAGGAAGCCTCAATCTTTTTGGGACTTTCCAAGCTAATCAGAATGGCCAACCTCATGAATTTTTATTGTACATGTATCCTCAGAGGGATAACTGATTTTATAATTTTTCATGACAACCTCATGCGTTATAAAAAGGATCCACGGTGTGTGTTCCCCCTCTCCAGCCAACGAGGGCTGCAACGACTACCACCCCATGTTCTTTACTCATGACCGAGCGTGGGAGGAGTTTTTCTGCGTTTGCATCCAACTGCTCAACAAGACCTGGAAGGAGATGAGGGCTACGGCTGAGGACTTCAACAAGGTCAGAGTTCATCCACCGGAGTCCGTTGACCACTTGGTTACTTAGGAGTTAGGACTTAGGCCATTGATGACTCCTGTCCATCACACTTTGTTTATCTGGTTGACTCTGGTTGGTAAAGGAAAAGCTGGACACTCTCATGGCTTTGATGTAATAAATGTAACAAGTACCAACGTTTCGACAGCTACGCTGCCTTACTTTATCAGGGTTTTCACTAAATGTTTGACTCTGAATGGTAACCCATTGGTTGGCCAGGTGATGCAGGTGGTTCGGGAGCAGATCACCCGGGCTCTGGCCATGAAGCCCTCGTCCCTGGACCATCTGAAGGGTAAACTGCGAGGCCTCAGCTACTCGGAGATCCTGCGTCTGCGGCAGTCAGAGAGGATGAGCCAGGATGACTTCCAGTCACCACCCATTATGTCAGTCCCACATCCACGTTAACTGTTTGACTTTGTCCATCAGATTAGTCTGCCTCTGTGTTCGGGTTTAACCCCTCATGTCAGTATTTTAGCCTCTTCAGACTTTGTTTTCATTACTAGCTAATGATACTGTATGACAGGATTGGGGTCAATTCCATTTCAATTCTGTCAATTTGGGAAGGAAACTACAGAGCCCCTTAGGGGTCATGGTGGAGAAGAAAGAAAAAAAACAGCCAGGCTAATTATTTTATTATTTTATTTTTGGTCATTTAGCAGACGCTCTTATCCAGAGCGACTTAATCAATTCCCTTGTTTTTTAAATCCATTCTTTATTTGTTCCCTCTGTTTTTTTTAATAGGCTACACAAATCAGGAATAGGACTAGCTTATCTCTAGGTCCCACATGGCCGATAACATATTGCAGCCTAAATGTAATTCTATTTAGTTAATTACATGCTTCAAATGGTGATGATCACTGACCATTCAATAGCTTATTTCCAGTTTCAGTGTTTTCATATGCCTCCGAGTCATATGGGCAAATAATAGGTAACGGGTGTGCAAAACCCCTCAATTGGGCTAAGTAATTTCAATAGCCTGAAATGCCAGGAGCCTCACTAACAGTCATAACTGAATGATGCATGTTTACGATGCAAACCAAATAGGCTACACTTTGTGCAAACATGAACAGTTGTCCATTTTGCAGGCCTCTCATCCCTGCGGCCCAGTGTTTTACCTCTCCCTGCGGCCCAGTGTTTTACCTCTCCCTGCGACCCAGTGTTTTACCTCTCCCTGCGGCCCAGTGTTTTACCTCTCCCTGCGGCCCAGTGTTTTACCTCTCCCTGCGGCCCAGTGTTTTACCTCTCCCTGCGACCCAGTGTTTTACCTCTCCCTGCGGCCCAGTGTTTTACCTCTCCCTGCGGCCCAGTGTTTTACCTCTCCCTGCGGCCCAGTGTTTTACCTCTCCCTGCGGCCCAGTGTTTTACCTCTCCCTGCGACCCAGTGTTTTACCTCTCCCTGCGACCCAGTGTTTTACCTCTCCCTGCGGCCCAGTGTTTTACCTCTCCCTGCGGCCCAGTGTTTTACCTCTCCCTGCGGCCCAGTGTTTTACCTCTCCCTGCGGCCCAGTGTTTTACCTCTCCCTGCGGCCCAGTGTTTTACCTCTCCCTGCGGCCCAGTGTTTTACCTCTCCCTGCGGCCCAGTGTTTTACCTCTCCCTGCGGCCCAGTGTTTTACCTCTCCCTGCGGCCCAGTGTTTTACCTCTCCCTGCGGCCCAGTGTTTTACCTCTCCCTGCGGCCCAGTGTTTTACCTCTCCCTGCGGCCCAGTGTTTTACCTCTCCCTGCGGCCCAGTGTTTTACCTCTCCCTGCGGCCCAGTGTTTTACCTCTCCCTGCGACCCAGTGTTTTACCTCTCCCTGCGACCCAGTGTTTTACCTCTCCCTGCGACCCAGTGTTTTATCTCTCCCTGCGGCCCAGTGTTTTACCTCTCCCTGCGGCCCAGTGTTTTACCGTGCATACAGTTAGGGCCAGATACGTCCAGTAAAACATGGTGCAGCCAAGCGCCTGGATGTGTTTATGTTGTTTACAATTGTGCATGTTACTCATAGGAGGCAGAAAGGAAAGGCATGCAAATGTATTGTGCGTAATTTCCAAGAGGCTTCGGCGTTAACAGGTACAATGATGCACTCTCATCCCTGCGCTAGGCAGGTGAACATCTTGTGCGACGTAGCCAACCAGGCACAGATAGATGGTTTAAATCAGCTCTGGCTCTATGTTCATAACTAAAACTGATGGCTATTTCCTTTGTTGCGATGACAATACGTCACCTGGAAATTAGCTAATGTCCAGGCTAGGGTAGGGAGCTAAAGAACTCCTCTGGAATACAGATATAGAACAGCTAAGGTCATGAAGCAGAGCCAGATGGAATTCTTGCTTAGGGATGATAGCGCATCATTGCACCATATTTGCACCTTGAGTGGTTTCGCACGCCTGTTACTATTATTTGCCCTTAAAATTCAGAGGTATATGAAAACACTGAAACTGGAAATAAGCTATTGAATGGTCAGTGATCATCACCATTTGAAGCATGTAATTAACTAAATAGAATTACATTTAGGCTGCAATATGTTATCGGCCATGTGGGACCGTCATGGTAGCCTACATAAGGCGATGAGGGTACGAATAAAAAAGATCTGTGAACGGATACAAAAACATAGGGAATGGATGAAAAAAAGAGGGAATGGAATAGCCTGGCTGTTTAATTTTTTTCTCCACCATGACCACTAAAGGGGCTCCGTGGGAAACTGAAATTCCCATTCCACTTTTTTTCTCATGGAAAATCATTCAGGAAAATTGGAATTTCAGTTTACTTTCTGAATTGAAATGGAATTGACTCCCACCCTACTCAATGAACAATATAGGTTAGTTAGAGTGTGTGTGTGTTTTGGTTGCTGTTCAATGCTAACAGACCTACTGTATGTGAGTGTTATGTTGCAGTGAGCTACGTGAGAGGATTCAGCCAGAGATCCTGGAGCTGATCAAGCAGCAGAGGCTCAACCACCTGTGTGAGGGAAGCTGCTTCCGCAAGCTGGGTAACCGCCGCAGACAAGGTGGGCACACATACACAGTTGAATAAACAAAGTGATAGGAGGAAGAGCAGTGTGCGGGTATTCCTACGCACCTGCAACAAGATACTTTTTTAAATATTTGCTGAACACTACCTTTCTGTGTTTTTTCACTGTCATCTTTTGTTTTGTCCTCCTCAGAGAAGTTCTGGTTCTGCCGCCTGTCTCTGAATCACAAGGTGCTGCACTATGGAGATCTGGACGAGTCTCCCCAGGGGGAAGTGCCTCTTGAGCTGCTCACTGACAAGAGTGAGTCTCCTGGCTACAACTCTGTTTCTCCCACTCACTCTCAGCGTTGGGGCCACCGTGACCTGTGCAATCGTGGCTATTTGAGATTCGATTGAGGTTGTCTATCAAAAGGCAAGCTAATCAGGTGAAGTCTCATAGCACATGGAAAGGCATCAGCTCTGAGCACAGATTCACTTACCATCTGGAAGGCAAACAATCAAGTCACGTGTTAAAACTGACACTGACTGATCCACATCACACCTAGATCAGTGGAACTATGCAGCTGTTGACTTCGATAAATGCCTGTTCATCTCTTCTTAATTTCCTGCTCTTTCTCATCTTCCCCCGTAGTCTCCGTGTCTGATATCAAGTCTGTGGTGACGGGGAAGGACTGTCCCCACATGAAGGAGAAGAGTGCACTGAAACAAAACAAGGTAGGCTACTGTAGCCTCCTACCAGCAGAGAGCATCCCAAATGGCAACCTATTCCATATATAGTGCACTACTCCACTACTTGGATACAGGGTGCAATTTAGCACACAGACCTGTTGGCATGATGTCTGTTAGCATGACTGATATGTAGCTACAAGCCCTACCTCTTCTTAAGCTCAATGGTTATGGAGTATCTATGAAGATTCTCAATTGGGCACAAGTCCTTCCTCTCCTCGACACCTCCGTCTTCTCCTACGTGACCTGGAAACCGAAAAGTGGTCGTCATATATAGGAGAATGTCAATTCGTTAATACGCGAACGGAGGACTTCGCTCCTCTTCTCGATTGCCTCCTCCGCGGAGGATACTCAGGTGTATCCTACCGCGTAAGAGTTTTGAAATCCACCACACCCCCTTTGAAACAACTGTTGTTTTCTCGGATGAGAAAAGCATGCACACATTTAAAAACTTGCTTCCGTCCCTTTCCTTGCCCCAACCTGGGCTTGAACCAGGGACCCTCTGAACACCTCAACAACTGCATCGGTACTATTCACTCCACAAAAGCCGCGGCAAGACAATGCTAGACCTCATGTGGCTGGAGTGTGTCAGCAGTTCCTGCAAGAGGAAGGCATTGATGCTATGGACTGGCCCGCCCGTTCCCCAGACCTGAATCCAATTGAGCACATCTGGGACATCATGTCTCGCTCCATCCACCAACGCCACGTTGCACCACAGACTGTCCAGGAGTTGGCGGATGCTTTAGTCCAGGTCTGGGTGGAGATCCCTCAGGAGACCATCCGCCACCTCATCAGGAGCATGCCCAGGCGTTGTAGGGAGGTCATACAGGCACGTGGAGGCCACACACACTACTGAGCCTCATTTTGACTTGTTTTAAGGACATTAAATCAAAATTTGATTTCCATTGATAATTTTTGTGTGATTTTGTTGTCAGCACATTCAACTATGTAAAGAAAAAAGTATTTAATAAGATTATTTCATTCATTCAGATCTAGGATGTGTTACTTTAGTGTTCCCTTTATTTTTTTGAGCACACAGGTGGACTTTATTTAACTAATTATGTGACTTCTGAAGGTAATTGGTTGCACCATATCTTATTTAGGGGCTTCATAGCAAAGGGGGTGAATACATATGCACGCACCACTTTTCCGTTATTTATTTTTTAGAATTTTTTGAAACAAGTTATTTTTTTCATTTCACTTCACCAATTTGGACTATTTTGTGTATGTCCATTACATGAAATCCAAATAAAAATCCATTTAAATTACAGGTTGTAATGCAACAAAATAGGAAAAACGCCAAGGGGGATGAATACTTTTGCAAGGCACTGTAGCTAGCATTTCACACCGGTTACTTATATGCTACTTATCCTTTTATCTATAAAATAGCACAACTAGCTACATTTCTTTTTACCACTTTACACGTGTTTTTGGATTCCACCTCTGTACACGTAATTTGTCTGACGTGCTAGAGAAGGAGAGTCTCATTTCATACAAGCCCATTTGTTTTCATGTTTCCTCGCCTCCTCTCCTCGATTACCTTTGAACTTTTTCCAAAAGGAGGCGAGGAGAGGACAGAGGAGAGGATGCGAGGAATCGAGGAAATCCAATTGAGATTCTCCACGTCATCCTAGTGCACTGTATGATGTTTATATTAGAGGTTTGGACATGAGGTGTGCGCTCTTGTTTGGGTAGGAGGTGTTGGAGCTGGCCTTCTCCATCCTGTACGATCCTGATGAGAACCTCAACTTTGTGGCTCCCAACAAATATGAGGTGAACGGCATGTTTAACCCCTCAGAATGAATAACTCTGGAGACATGATCTGCATTGTATGTGAGTGCATACCGTAAATGTACTGTATGTTATCTGACCTGTGCTCTCCATCTGCTTTGTGTGTGTGTGCATGCGCCTGCCTGCCTGCGTGCACTGAACAGTACTGTATCTGGACTGATGGGCTGTGTGCGTTGCTGGGCCGAGAGATGGGAAGTGACCTCACCCGCAGCGACCTGGACACGCTCATCTCCATGGAGATGAAGCTCCGCCTCCTGGACCTGGAGAACATCGCCATACCCGAAGCCCCTCCCCCTGTGCCAAAAGAGCCCAGCACTTACAACTTCACCTACAACTACGGCTGAGGTTTGTGTGAGTGCGAGAGAGACTGTATTTGTGTAGGTGTGTGTGGGGCACAATTATGTGTGTGCGTTTGTGTGTAATAAGACAATGAAACCACTCATCTCTTAGCCACTTAATCTTGAACTCAACATCACTTGTCTGATGCTCTGAAATCCAACTGCCCACAATTAATCCAGGCAGGCTACGCAACACTAGACGACAAAATGTGCCATTGTATTTTTAAAAATCACCATTATTGTACGAGCTTGATACGAACCTGAATGTTAATATTTTGTTTCGTAACTCATCACTTCATGGCCTTATCAACTTGTTTTGTTAAATAAGCTCTGAATGTTTTGAACAGTTACAGCTGAGCCCCACTATTGCTTCATGCATCGTCATAACAACAGAACCAGTTTGAACTGACACATGGGCCAGGGTCTTTTGCAAGGTGTTGTATTCAAGTCACTCCCCGTGTCCGCTCATCCTCTAATTCAGTACTAATCAATATTATTGATGTTTGTTATGCAGAATATTATTATATTTTTATAAATGATTATGTGAACTCCGTCTCAGCTTTGAAGAGAAGGAACACTAACTTTCTAGCAACCTACTAATTTGACTTCAAAAGTAGTGGTTTAGGGCACAAAAGATTGAGCTAGATATTAAACTGACAGAGGTCTCAGAGAAAGCAGTAAGCCATTTGTAGGCTTATCACATGTTTGGCTTCTATAATTATTCTACTTTGTACAGTCAAACTCAGTTGCCAAATGGTGATCTGGATGTGGAGGCATTTAACACTAAACCAATGGAGCTTTCACCACGCAAGAACTCTGAAGTCATATTCTCTGGAATTAGTAGGTTAGGAGATGGCCAAAATGTCTCATAACATGAATCCTCAATGGTCAACGTGTCAAATATTGGATAATATGTTTTTGTTGTATCTTGCACTGCTAATGAAAGTAACAAGAAATGTGCTCAGTGTATGCTATTGGAGTTTGGTTACGCTGTACTTAAATTAATAGGATTCAGTGGTCTTGTATTGGAAGTTATTTCAACAACAAAAAATTCTACCTTTGTAAAAGGGTTCTGGGTCTTGATATTTGATGTCCCATTGTTCATAGTACACAATCAGAAGGGGATGTTATGTCAAAGACATCACTGTCAAAAGTGTGTAGCTGCTTAGAGAATTCTACAAAATGCCACATTGAACAAAGTGGTGTTGCTAATGGACAGGGAGACTTCTGACTTCTGAAGAGGCTTTAGCATTTGGTACTCTTTAACATGACTTGCTAAACCATGACCGTGTTCAGACTAGTGCTGGTAGTGAATGACATGTTGTTAGTCATGAAATACATTTTAAATATGGTATTCATATATAAATAATTGTCTGTATATATTGTGTTGCTTTATTTAAAAAAATGTTTTGTTTTGTGTGAATAAATACAACGTTAAACTGGTATGGTATTTTGTCCTGGAAAATAGGGTTTTGAAATAGCTTTTCACACATGTTTATGGTATATCTACATGCAACCACGTTTATTTCATGACTCCTCTACATTGTATTGGAGAGCCCGCCATCTACTACAGCAGTTTCCCAACCCTGCTCCTCCAGTACCCCCAACAGTACACATTTTTCAGCTCGTTGAGGGCTTGTTGATTAGTTGACAAGTTTAATCAGGTGTACTGTTGTGGGTACTCAAGGAGCAGGGTTGGGAAACACTTAACAGGATCTATTAAACAAAGCTCTAGTCTGTTGTGTAAAGCCTCATTTTAACACAGTTATCTTTGTAAAGAATTCAAAATGTGCCAATCCATTTAAATTCACTCATAACAGATTCTCTTATCAAAAGATATTAAATCATATTACAGCATAATGATGCATGCAATACATCCAAGGCAAACTGGACATGCCAACAATTTTTCTAAAACAGTTTGACAGTTGACGTAATCTGGTGTTGTCGCTCCCTTGGGCTCGTGCAGTGGAGGAGATATTCGTGGGCTATACTCAGCCTTGTCTCAGGTTAGTAGGTTGGTGGTCTGTTGATATCACTCTGGTGGTGTGGGGGGTGTGCATTGGCAAAGTGGGTGGGGTTATATCCTGCCTGGTTGGCCCTGTCCGGGGGTATCGTCGGACGGGGCCACAGTGTCTCCCAACCCCCCCCCCCCCCCCCCGGAGTTGCTTCTCTATGTAATGGAGTTAGCTTCGTAACCTCAATCCCCAGTTTGAAATGTCACATCTGGCCGGCCGGACCAACCAACCTATCTGTCAGACCGGACCGACCTACCTATCTGGCCGGCCGGACCTAGCTATCTGACCGGCCGACTGGACCTAGCTATTTGGCAGACCGGACCTAGCTATCTGGCCGGCCTGCAGGCCGGACCAACAGTTGAAGTTTACATACACCTTAGCCAAATACATTTAAACTCAGTTTTTCACAATTCTTGACATTTAATCCTAGTAAAAATTCCCTGTCTTAGGTCAGTTAGGATCACCACTTTATTTTAAGAATGTGAAATGTCAGAATAATAGTAGAGAGAATTATTTATTTCAGCTTTTATTTCTTTCATCACATTCCCAGTGGGTCAGAAGTTTACATACACTCAATTAGTATTTGGTAGCATTGCCTTTAAATTGTTTAACTTGGGTCAAACGTTTCGGGTAGCCTTCCACAAGCTTCCCACAATAAATTGGGTGAATTTTGGCCCATTCCTCCTGACAGAGCTGGTGTAACTGAGTCAGGTTTGTAGGCCTCCTTGCTCGCACACGCCTTTTCAGTTCTGCCCACAAATGTTCTATAGGATTGAGGTCAGGGCTTTGTGATGGCCTCTCCAATAACTTGACTTTGTTGTCCTTAAGCCATTTTGCCACAACTTTGGAAGTATGCTTGGGGTCATTGTCCATTTGGAAGACCCATTTGCGACCAAGCTTTAACTTCCTGACTGATATCATGAAATGTTGCTTCAATATATCCACATAATTTTCCTTCCTCATTATGCCAAATATTTTGTGAAGTGCACCAGTCCCTCCTGCAGCAAAGCACCCCCACAGCATGATGCTGCCACCCACTTGCTTCACGGTTGGGATGGTGTTCTTCGGCTTGCAAGCAGCCACCTTTTTCCTCCAAACATAACAATGGTCATTATGGCCAAAAGTTATATTTTTGTTTCATCAGACCAAAGGACATTTCTCAAAAAAATAGGATCTTTGTTGCAAACCGTAGTCTGGCTTTTTTATGGCGGTTTTGGAGCAGTGGCTTCTTCCTTGCTGAGCGGCCTTTCAGGTTATGTCGATATAGGACTCGTTTTACTGTGGATATAGATACTTTTGTACCTGTTTCCTCCAGCATCTTCACAAGGTCCTTTGCTGTTGTTCTGGAATTGATTTGCACTTTTCGCACCAAAGTATGTTAATCTCTAGGAGACAGAACGCGTCTCCTTCCTGAGCGTTATGACGGCTGCTTGGTCCCATGGTGTTTATACTTACGTACTATTGTTTGTACAGATGAACGTGGTACCTTCAGGCGTTTGGAAATTGCTCCCAAGGATGAACCAGACTTGTGGAGGTCTACCATTTTTTTTCTGAGGTCTTGGCTGATTTCTTTTGATTTTCCCATGATGTCAAGCAAAGAGGCAGAGTTTGAAGGTAGGCCTTGAAATACATCCACAGGTACACCTCCAATTAACACATGCTGTCAATTAGCCTACCAGAACCTTCTATACATTTACATTTACGTCATTTAGCAGACGCTCTTATCCAGAGCGACTTATAAATTGGTGCATTCACCTTATAGCCAGTGGGATAACCACTTTACAATATGTTTTTTTTCTCTTTCTTTGGGGTGGGGTAAGGGGGGGTAGAAGGATTACTTTAGGTGGTGAGTGACTACGCTGTCCTGGCGTCGTGAGGGAGCTTGTTCCACCATTGGGGTGCCAGAGCAGCGAACAGTTTTGACTGGGCTGAGCGGGAACTGTGCTTCCGCAGAGGTAGGGGGGCCAGCAGGCCAGAGGTGGATGAACGCAATGCCCTCGTTTGGGTGTAGGGACTGATCAGAGCCTGAAAGTACGGAGGTGCCGTTCCCCTCACAGCTCCGTAGGCAAGCACCATGGTCTTGTAGCAGATGCGAGCTTCAACTGGAAGCCAGTGGAGTGTGCGGAGGAGCGGGGTGACGTGAGAGAACTTGGGAAGGTTGAACACCAGACGCGCTGCGGCATTCTGGATGAGTTGTAGGGGTTTAATGGCACAGGCAGGGAGCCCAGCCAACTGCGAGTTGCAGTAATCCAGACGGGAGATGACAAGTGCCTGGATTAGGACCTGTGCCGCTTCCTGTGTAAGGCAGGGTCGTACTCTCCGAATGTTGTAGAGCATGACCCTACAGGATCGGGTCACCGCCTTGATGTTAGCGGAGAATGACAGGGTGTTGTCCAGAGTCACGCCAAGGCTCTTTGCACTCTGGGAGGAGGACACAACGGAGTTGTCAACCGTGATGGCGAGACCATGACATCATTTTCTGGAATTTTCCAAGCTGTTTAAAGGCACAGTCAACTTAGTTAATGTAAGCTTCTGACCCACTGGAATTGTGATACAGTGAATTATAAGTGAAATAATCTGTCTGTAAACAATTGTTGGAAAAATTACTTGTGTCATGCACAAAGTAGATGTCCTGACCGACTTGCCAAAACTATAGTTTGTTAACAAGAAATGTGTGGAGTGGTTGAAAAATGAGTTTTAATGACTCCAATCTAAGTGTACGTAAACTTCCGACTTCAACTGTACCTATCTGACCGGCCGACTGGACCTAGCTATTTGGCAGACCGGACCTAGCTATCTGGCCGGCCGACCGGACCTAGCTATCTGGTTGGCCGGCAGACCGGACGTACCTGCCGTACTTATATATCTGGCCGGCCGGACCTAGCTATCTAGCTGGCCAACCGGATCTAGCTGGTCGGCCGACCGGACCTACCTATCTGGTCGGCCGACCGGACCATGTTTCAGCATGATAATGCACAGCCCCATGTCGCAAGGATCTGTACATGATTCCTGAAAGCTGAAAATGTCCCAGTTCTTCCATGGCCTGCGTACTCACCAGACATGTAACCCATTGAGCATGTTTGGGATGCTCTGGATCGACGTGTAAAACAGCGTTTTCCAGTTCCTGCCAATATCCAGCAACTTCGCACAGCCATTGAAGAGGAATGGGGCAACATTCCACAGGCCACAATCAACAGGCTGATCAACTCTATGCGAAGGAGATGTGTTATGCTGCACACTAGATGCTGACAGATTCTGATCCACGCCCCTACCTATTTTTTTTTTAAAGGTATCTGTGACCAGCAGTCATGTGAAATCCATAGATTAGGGCCTAATGCATTTATTTCAGTTGACTGATTTCCTTATATGAACTGTAACTCCTTAACATCTTTGAAATGGTTGCATGTTGTTTATATTTTTGTTCAGTGTATATATTCAGATCAAATTGCACTCAATAAATGTTTTCTCCTACTATAGGTCATATTAGCGGGCTATCACGGGGTATAAACACTTTTTCAAATCCATTACATTAACTTTGTAAATCAGTTTTTAAAAAGTATGCGATTATGTACCTTTGACTACGGGAAAGGACGTCAGAATATCTACTAGTTTAAGTTACAGCACAATAAAAATGGTCATTACCGCCACCAATTTATACGGGGTGTAATAACTGCCGTGGTTGATGCTTTTTGCCTACTCGGAAATTACGATATGAAACGTTGATTTGAACCTTCTGACCAACTAGTGGGTCAGGCGGCGCCCCTCTGTCTGATTCATGTCGCGTGACTTCTGATGATAGTTCTCGATTATATCGACTGATTGGTTCTGTATGGGGTGGGAATACAACCCTAGCTGAAAAGGGGCGTGGCTTCGGCTAACCTCGTATATATAAAAAACATCAACAACAACAACAAAAAGACGCGTTTCAGCAGCATCCTTGCTCTGTAAGTCATCACCTGTGGCGTATTCATTACGCCGATTCTGTTGCAAAATGTTTCTTAAACGGAAGCAAACGGAACAAAACGGGGACGGCCCTACCAAATTCTCTCGTTTTGCTATGTTTGCGTCCTTTTGGTTCTTAAACGCTAAACCAAAGACAGTACTCTGTGTAAGTAAACGGTTTCCGTAATGAATACACCCCTGGTAGATGGCAATAAACGCGGGCACCTTCACCAAAGCATCAAATCACGGAGTTTCTAAACCCAGAGGCGCAACATTACGAGACTTCCGGGAATGCTTGCTAAACAGACCGGGGTTTGAGAAGTCAATGAGAAAAGTGAACAATTATTAGTTAGTTGTTAATTTTCTCTAAATCTAAAGGCACAACTTAGATTCGAGCCAATGTCTTAAGTAGTCGAACATGTTATTACACCAACCTCGTGAAAGTAACAAACTGACACGTTTTCATTGTCGTCAAAAACGACTTGCTATTGAAAGATTTCCTTTGATTTGACGGCCTGCACATGCGCGGAGTTCGGTGCGAGACGACCGTTATTCCCGACGACATGTTTCTACGCATGAGCCTTGCTAGCCAAGCAGTTTTAGCCTATCTTCGTACTGTACGGTCTTTGATAAAAATTAATTGTCGGGCAAAAGCGAAACGTAGCCTAGGTTTAGTTATCTCTCTAAATTATTATGTTGATTATGTGAGTAATAAAATGTTTGAAATTGGCAATACTTTGCGATAAAATAACCAATAGCTGAATGACGTCGATAACTGATCTATTTAGCTAGCTAGGCTAGCTTGGTATTGGTAACATTTGTAATGTAACGTTACAGCTAATCAATTTGTTGGAGAAAGAAAATGATAATCTATCCAGTAAATCTACGATGATTGTAGCGATTGTAGCGTGGAAACCATGAAAAGATCTAGAAGTGTTGGTGCGTCTTCACCTTTGAATGGGATTGGAAAACAAGGTATTCTAACGACATGGACATTCATTGTTTTTCTGTTTTTTCTTTAGCTAGCTAGTTAATGTTAACTAGCTGTTAGCTAGTTACCCAATTAGTCGAGAGGATGTAACGTATCTGTCTGGCTATCTAACTAGTTGTCATGACCCATGTTTGCAATCTTGTGTTAACTACATTAGCTAGCTAACGTTTACGTTAACAGCTGGAAAATCGAAATACATTTACGTTAGCTAGCTAGCTAACGTTAGCGAACAACACACCATTGACTGGTAGTAAGGTTACCCAGGCATTGATTTGACATGGTCTCCTTAAATCTTTAACCAAAACACCGGGACAGTACTAGGAACGTATAAGAGAACGGAGTTGTGCGTTCCTCACGGCACATACATAATACAGGATTCCTTAAAAGACATAGCGAAATTAACTGTAATAAATATTTAATCATCCTGAAAGCACACAATTATTCCCAGTTTGTGTGGCATAGTGACATCACTATCCAGCAAAGGCACATTGCAGGGGGACTGTCAAAAGGTCTTGAATTGGATGTACCCCAATGCTGGAAGTGGGGCCTAAGTGAAAAAGTTTGGGAACCCCTGGTCTGATGGATACTTTGCCTGTCCGCTTCCGAGTTTAGCTATCTCAGAAGGATGTTCTGGCTAATGACCACTGTGCTGCTGTGAGTTGAGACCTCACCTGAACCGTTGTCATGTGGACAGATAGGGACTCCCGGAGGAAGAGGAAGTTGGCGGAGATCTCTCAGGCCCTGAACGTGACGCCGGTTGATGTGGCAGTGCTGAGGAGGATGGCCATCAGCGAGGGGGGGCTGCTCACTGATGAGATCCGCTGTAAAGTGTGGCCATGGCTGCTCAACGTGCCCACCAACATCCTGCCTGAGAAACCAGGTGAGCTGCATGGGCACTGCCACTGACAGACAGACGAGGGATGCTACAAAGGGTAATAGGCCTATATTAAGCGTAGGGGCATGTATTGGATCTATTTTTAAGGGGAAGGGGGATTTAGGGTTTGGCAGGGGTCTGAGCTTAATTGACAGCAGATTTTGTCACTTGAGTTAGCCTACTATTTGCTGAACCTGATAGTTTCATCAATTACAGTGGAGTCCACATCCCCACTGCAATTGCCTATACAGTTGAAGTCGGAAGTTTACATACACTTAGGTTGGGGTCATTAAAACTAGTTTTTCAACCACTCCACAAATGTCTTGTTAACAAACTATAGTTTTGGCAAGTCGGTTAGGACATCTACTTTGTGCATGACATAAGTAATTTTTCCAACAATTGTTTACAGACAGATTATTTCACTTATAATTCACTGTATCACAATTCCAGTGGGTCAGAAGTTTACATACACTAAGTTGACTGTGCCTTTAAACAGCTTGGAAATTCCAGAAAATGACGTCATGGCTTTAGAAGCTTCTGATAGGCTAATTGACATAATTTGAGTCAATTGGAGGTGTACCTGTGGATGTATTTCAAGGCCTACCTTCAAACTCAGTGCCTCTTTGCTTGACATCATGGGAAGATCAAAAGAAATCAGCCAAGACCTCAGACATTTTTTTGTAGACCTCCACAAGTCTTGTTCATCCTTGGGAGACATTTCCAAACGCCTGAAGGTAACACGTTCATCTGTACAAACAATAGTACGTAAGTATAAACACCATGGGACCACGCAGCCGTCATACCGCTCAGGAAGGAGACGCGTTCTGTCTCCTAGAGATGAACGTACTTTGGTGCAAAAAGTGCAAATCAATCCCAGAACAACAGCAAAGGACCTTGTGAAGATGCTGGAGGAAACGGGGACAAAAGTATCTATATCCACAGTAAAACGAGTCCTATATTGACATAACCTGAAAGGCCGCTGAGCAAGGAAGAAGCCACTGCTCCAAAACCGCCATAAAAAAGCCAGACTACGGTTTGCAACTGCACATAGGGACAAAGATCGTACTTTTTGGAGAAATGTCCTCTGGTCTGATGAAACAAAAATAGAACTGTTTGGCCATAATGACCATCGTTATGTTTGGAGGAAACTGGGGGACGCTTGCAAGCCGAAGAACGCCATCCCAACCGTGAAGCACGGGGGTGGCAGCATCATGCTGTGGGGGTGCTTTGCTGCAGGAGGGACTGGTGCACTTCACAAAATAGATGGCATCATGAGGAAGGAAAATGATGTGGATATTTTGAAGCTACATCTCAAGACATCAGTCAGGAAGTTAAAGCTTGGTCACAAATGGGTCTTCCAAATGAACAATGACCCCAAGCATACTTCCAAAGTTGTGGCAAAATGGCTTAAGGACAACAAAGTCAAGTTATTGGAGAGGCCATCACAAAGCCCTGACCTCTGTCAGGAGGAATGGGCCAAAATTCACCCAACTTATTGTGGGAAGCTTGTGGAAGGCTACCCGAAACATTTGACCCAAGTTAAACAATTTAAAGGCAATGCTACCAAATATTAATTGAGTGTATGTAAACTTCTGACCCACTGGGAATGTGATGAAAGAAATAAAAGCTGAAATAAATAATTCTCTACTATTATTCTGACATTTCACATTCTTAAAATAAAGAGGTGATCCTAACTGACCTAAGACAGGGAATATTTACTAGGATTAAATGTCAGGAATTGTGAAAAACTGAGTTTAAACGTATTTGGCTAAGGTGTATGTAAATGTCCGACTTCAACTGTATATCTTGCATGCCCCCAACAACAGTTGATGGTTAAATGTGTGACCTGATCTCTCTCTTCTCCAGAGGAAGTAGAGCGGGAGAATAATAAGGACTATAACCAGGTGCTGTTGGATGTCCAGCGTTCCCTTCGAAGATTCCCTCCTGGTGAGTGACACTGGTCTTAGAATAGCATTAAATCATGTGAGGCAGTGGCGTGTTTTGTCATCATTGTCTGTTCTGCCGGTGTCCCACTTGAATTTGACTTGTGTGATGTAGGCCTACAGACTACGCAACCCTGTCAATTTGTATTTGTTTCTTTTGGAGAGTGTCCTAGATGTCTGTATGTTACTACTTTATTTATTAAAGCAGCAGAAAGTCCCAAAATGGAGAAAGCATGAACTGATTACTGGGTGCTTTGGAATTCATTGGAATTCTGCCATGCTTGTGTTTCTCTGGCCAAGAATTCAGGACAACCTTTATGCATGCGAAAGTTTGGTCATTTTGTCAGGAAGGGTGTGACCGTCTTCTTTTCCAGTTGTATACTACATAACCCTAATTTGGGAACTGCCTGCATAACTCGGCCCAGCGTCGTCCGGGTTTGGCCGGTGTAGGCCGTCATTGTAAATAAGAATTTGTTCTTAACTGACTTGCCTAGTTAAATAAAGGTTAAATAAATAAATCAGTGCATAAGATACACAAAGGCCAAGTTATACTTTTATTTTATTTTTTTCATTTAGCAGGCTCTCTTATCCAGAGCGACCTAACTAGAGAAAAGCTATACATGCTTTTCTCTAGTTAGGATTTGGCCATAATGAGGAAATCAGCTGTGCCTTTTGACTTGTGACTAGGGCTGTTGCGGTGACCGTATTACTGCCACACCGGCGGTCACGAGTCATGAAGGCAGTCAAATTCCACGTGACCGTTTAGTCACGGTAGTTAGGCTTCTCCAAGCTCTGATTCTGCTCATGGTCATTAGTAGCCTACCAAACTTGCTAACTGCCTGGTACTCAGCACTCTATTGTCCTTCTAATCACTCTGACATCAATGCAAATGTAATCGAAAATCTAATCAAACACTTTGTGAGAGCTCATGTTGCGAAACATTTCTATAGGATATGCAATTGCGTGAGAAAACAGAGTGATGGCCTCTACTAAAAAGAGGATCCCATCAGCTTTCTATTGACTAGGCCTGCTATATTTATTTCTCACCTTTCCTAATATTAAGCACATTGCTGTTCTTTACAACAGCAGAATAGCCTACTTGGCTGGCATGAAAATGAATCAGAGGGAAAGGGTCCTCCATGTGCTATTTAAGTGCATAGATGACATGTATTTTTTCCGCTGCTCTTGTTTCAAGACAGGTGTATGATAATGGTCCATTCTAAATCAAAACAAATTTCACACATATTTAGTATACTGTATGTAAAGACAAGATTAAATCAATAATATTTTGATGGGTGACAATATTAGCCTATCACTTGTGAATTATATATTATCACTTGTGAATGATGCCCAGCATAAAATAGCCTTTTTTTTGCGACTTTTTCGAATCATAGTCACACACCTCATGTAGCCTAGCCCATAGGCCTATATGTTTTGATAAGGTTTGTATCACAACTAAAGTGGCCAAATAACTTCTTAAAATTAAGCACATTAATCCGCTTTACAAGGGGTTTAGAGCCTAACTGGCATACATAAGCAGCGGATGAGGATGAAGTTTGGGGAAGATAATTTTCACCATAAAAATGCACCTTTATAAAAGCATTACATACATAATCGCATTTGCGGTCACTTTTGATAATGGTGTTTTCCCGCTAATGGAACATTCTCACTTATAGCTTACTGCCATGTGCGCATTGCTGCGCTTATAATGTGAAGAAATAGCCGAATAGTTTATCAACATTTTAAGCTAAACGTTCTAATTTGTTGTGTCAGCCACATTGTGTAAAAAATGTTTTTTTGATGCTAGTGGTTGTATTGATTTGTGATCTATTGCATCCCACAACTGTCCCAGACTATGTTTGGAATATTTATTTATTGAATAGAATAGGTTGACCTTTGTACTATGGGGGATAGTTGATTGACATAGGCTAGTGCTTTTGCTGTTCGTTAGGCCTGCTCATCTTGTTGGCTGACGAAAAGTAAATGTGGACAGTTCTTCCAATATCTTCAATATGCACCTCAGAATTGGATAAGAAGGTGCGCAGTTGCGTCCCGATGTGTCTGTCTTCACTTGTAGCCTGTGAGAAAGACCCGATCACGTGATGGAGAGAGCGCAGCACTCAGGGAGAAGGGCACAACAAAGGCATGTGAAATTCGAGGCATTATCAAGTGCTTGTCAAATTGTGAATGAGAGACTAATGAAGTGTGTACAGCCTGCGCAAAAACAAAGCAGAGCTCATGCCTTTCAAGGGACTTTTTTCAAATCATCATTAGTCGCATCATGCAGCCTTAAAATGTATTAAAAATCAAAACAGCCCAACGTTTGTAGAACAACTAAAGTTACATTAATAACTCTAAATTAAGCATATAAGAGTACCTATTTCGTTATTAACCGCTCAACACAGAATAGCCACATGTGCGTACTCCCTCAAATCGTTTTGAGAAAATATTTCTATTTTATTCAGCTTTGTTCAATTGTATTCTTCATACTATAATATAAAATAATGCCACGGAATTCTAAGCAAATCTTGGATCAGGACCTAACATAAGGACAACTCAAGAGTATGCTATTCTGTTCTTCTGATATAGACTACATTTTCTTCATATCATGCTTCTTTAGACCTGTCTAAAATAATGGATTTATTAGTAGATATTCCAAAGGTCTGTATCAGTGGTTTGTAGGCTATGTGTGGAAGGCAATAGATGCTAAATGTGTTTGTTAATTAACGGTCAATTACCGTGAGACCGACAGTTATTTGCTTGACAAACAGCAGCTGACGAAATTTCGTGACCGCCACAGCCCTACTTGTGACCTTTTGCCCTTTTGCCCCCTATCCCTGTGTAGGCATGCCAGACGAGCAGCGTGAGGGCCTCCAGGAGGAGCTGATTGACATCATCCTGCGTGTGCTGGGAAGGAACACCCAGCTGCACTACTACCAGGGCTACCATGACATCGTGGTCACCTTCCTGCTGGTGCTGGGCGAGCGGCTTGCTACCGCTCTAGTAGAGAAACTCTCCACACACCACCTCAGGTGGGTCTCTGTCTCTCTGAGTGCTCCCCTCCCATAGGAGCTTGGCTTTCAAAGGGGTTTTAAGTAGAAGGGAAGCCATGTAGAAAAGAGAACGTAGCCCGTTACAATACAACAGTAGCACCTCCTGTTAGTTTGAGTATTTTATAGTGTGTGCAGGTTTAAATAACTGTGTAAACTGCACACGGTTCACCAGATGAGTCATCTTATACAGTTGCTGGTGGAGACGAGGCAAGTCTCGAAGCATTTCATTTGAATTACATACACAGTGCTACCTTCTATTTTTATGATTGACAGACTGTCATGATGATTATCTGATCCTGGTTCAGTTTGTCATGTGTTCAGTTCAGTTTGTCTCTCCTGTTCCTTTACTGCAGGGACTTTATGGACCCCACCATGGACAACACTAAACACATCCTTAACTATCTGATGCCAATCATCGAGAGGGTCAACCCAGAGGTGCATGACTTCATGCAGCAGTAAGCATATTTTCACTTGTTCTGTTAGTACAATCAGTAATTCCTTCAAATAACTAATGAGCACAACTAATATAGCTATAATACAAATAATCACTAAATGGGTGTCCCTACGTTTTGTGTCCTCAGGGCGGAGGTGGGCACCATCTTTGCCCTTAGCTGGCTCATCACCTGGTTTGGCCACGTCCTGTCAGATTTCCGACACGTCGTACGGTTGTATGACTTCTTCCTGGCCTGCCATCCCCTGATGCCAATCTACTTTGCTGCTGTGGTGAGCGTCCTCTTTTTGGGACTAAAGTGGAGCATTTTTCTAAGTGACTCCAAACATAACCTTCTCTTTTTCCTTTTGTCTTCGGACAATGGCTTCGAAGTTGCCGCTGAGGAGTTTGCTAACATTTTATTGAATTCAATAGATGTTGTTAACTGGTTGTTGTACTGTGTGTTGTACTGTGTGTGTGTGTGTGTGTGCTCGCACGCCGTTTGGTCGGTGTCTGTTCCAGATTGTGCAGTACCGGGAGGATGAGGTGTTGGACTGTGAGTGTGACATGGCGTCGGTACACCACCTCCTGTCTCAGATCCCCCAGGATCTGCCCTACGAGACGCTCATCAGCCGTGCAGGAGACCTCTTTGTCCAGTTCCCCCCCTCCGAGCTGGCCAGGGAGGCTGCCCAGCAGTACAGTCAACAGTAAGACTGCCTGCCTCTTCTCTCACTTGTCTCTTTTTGTCACGTAATCTCTCCCATTGATTTTCTCTTTCGCCAGCCCCCATAGATCTCTCTATCTTCTTCTATATCTCCTTTCTCCAAGCTTCTTTTACTTCTTCTCTTTCTTTTGGTCTCTCTCTTTCTCCCTGCTGTTGCGAGTCGAATTCCCTCATTAACACTCTGAGGTGAGATAGATAGATAGTGTGATCTGACAGAATAACCTTCATCTCCCCTGACAGGTGAACTGTGCTCTAATAACCTGACAGCTAATTCTGTCTCCTCCTTCACACTAGCCTGTACCACTGATATTATCATGTACTTATTTCCAGCATATTTAAACAATGACGCAGGAATTTGAACATGTACATGAATTTGAAGATGTATTTCTATAAATAATAGGGACAATGTGTGACATTGGGATAAACATTTCTAAATGGTTTGAAACTAAAATAAAATGTATTTTTATGCAGTTCCAAATGTGTACTTAGAGGAATAAAAGTGAAAATATGTAAATTGGCCCATAACTCCACCTATACAACAACAAAGTAGCTCAACACCCTTCAATTGAAGCGGCGGGAAACAAACGAAAGTGGCCACTCTCACAACAACTGATCAAAAATAACATCACAGATAATTATGAGGGAGCAGGAGAATTTATAAATTGACTACAATAATTACAAGGAGTTTTCAGCCACCAAATTGAGGAAATGTCTGATTTTCAAGGTAGGCCTATACCAGTACTTGAATTTCTGAGCTCCAAGTTCAAGTAGGCTACTTCAAGCTCCTTGTATTGTTTAACATTGCAGTTGTAACATGGAAAAATGTTATTTCATTACCAGATCATATTGTGAATAAGCCCACTAGGCTATGTAATTTGTTGCCATTTATATCCAGAATAATTATTAGGAATAGCGTTGGGTGTTGCGCAATAGTATATCCTACACAATTGCGCACAGTAGACTATTCAATCCGAGGCATGAAAACATGAACTCGTTACCTTGCTGCTTTCTCTGTTAAATCTAACGAGATCTTGCTGTAAATCAAACTGACAACAACAGATGATCAGCAACAATTCGCTAGGGATATTCGATCCAATGTGGATCCAGGCCCAACTCTCTTCACCGGCGTAACGAATGAGACACAAATATTCTTGACATTCCTTGCGAACACCTTTTTTCCAGCACTTGGGCTGTTTCAAGGAGACACAAAATGTTACATAGTTGCACTGCGGTGTGGTAGGAAGGCCTGAAAATAGGTAAATACTCCAACCACCCAAGCCATAGACTATTCTCTCTGCTTCCGTGCGGCAAGAGGAACCGGTGCATCAGGTCTGACACCAACAGGCTCTTGAACAGCTTCTATCCCCAAGCAATATGACTGATAAATAGCTAACAAAATGGCTACACAGGCTATCTGAGTTAGCCTTGTATCTTTATTGACCTTTTATCTCTATGCACACTCACACACACACACACACACTCCATCTGCTTACTCACACATAATATGCACATACATTTCTACTGACTCTACCCACACACACACACCCACTCACATACAAGCTGCTGCTACTCTGTTTATCTTATATCCATTTGCCTAGTCACCTTACCCCTATACATATCTACCTCCATCACTCCAGTGTCCCTGCACATTGTAAATATGGTATTGGAACTGACCCTGTATATAGTATGCTTGCTTACTTATTGTGTTCTTCATATTTCTCGTTTATTTTCTAGTATTTCTAGTTATTGATTATTGCATTGTTGGGTTTTGAGTTAGCAAGAAAGCCATTTCACTGTACTTGTGCATGTGACATTAAAACTGAGATCTCTATACAAGAAAAACAGTCCGACAGCTAGATCCAGGATTCTTACAGGGTTCAAGTTCAATGTCTAATTTTAACTGATTAATGCGTAATATATGATATAAGGACAACTTACATTGCCATAAATGCAAGGACAGAAAAGTTATGTTTTATGTCACAGAATTTTGGACAAATCCGTCAAGACACAAACCATGAGAAAGAGTTCAACAGGTTTTAAATCAACCCTTGAATTTAGTTGAATATAGCTATGTTCCCCCCTTGTATCTTAATATAATGACATGAGAAAAATTGGCAGATCATTATTAATGACTTACCAACAGCTGTAACAAGTTGTCCAGTGTAGGAAATCCTCACGGGTACCCTAGAAAGACACACATACCCCAAGCGAAGGTTCTGTATATTTAGGAAAATACATGTCCTTCCTTCTGATGTTTATGTTCTCCTAAGCTATACCACTAGTATGGGAGACCAATAGACCTAGTTTGTACTAGAACAAGTAACAAGGTTATCCTCAAACAGCCATGTAATCCTCTGCCCTGTCCCAGCAGTAGCTGCCTAGTGTTAATAACATTGTCCTCTGTCTCCTCCTTCACACTAGCCTGTAGGTCTGTTATCATGTACTTATCATCAGCATATTAAGCAATGACACTTTAATTTGAACATGCATGCTGTAGCTGCCTGGTATTAATACCATTGCCATCTGTCTCTCAGGATGGCGGCCTCCACCTTTAAAGACTTTGATCTGACCTCGGAGCAGCAGCGGCCGGACAAGGTGCTGCGGAGGCGGCGGAGGGAGAAGCAGGCGCTGGAGGGAGCTGCTGCAGGTGCTATGGTGGCAACGGCCCAACCAACCGCGGCTCGGCGCTTCGTCCGACTGGCCGTCATGGGGCTCACTGTGGCCCTGGGGGCAGCCGCCCTCACCCTGGTCAACACTGCCCTGGAGTGGGTGCCCAAACTGGACCTGCACCTCTTCCCCTGAGAGAGAGGGAAGGGGCCTTGTAGGTGAATGAAGGGGGCTGATGGCCATTACAGCAGAAGACATCCACGAGAAGGAGAGAGAATAGAGATCTTTGTGAAGAGAATATGGAGTTCTTTTCCACATTATTATGAAGGACGAGAATGGAACAGAGACTTGATTGTCCACGTTGTTTTTAATTTATATTTGTTAATAAAATAACTGGATGGTGATGAATGTTGTGCTCAGAGATTAAGCTATTTCGGTGATGGCAAGCGACAACTTGTAGCAAATACTTTGTGTTACTAGGTTGAAGAGTTGTCACTGGGGTCGAAACTGCTGCCAATGAAGAGCGTGTGAGAGAGTGTGGTTGTGTCCAAAATGTCTCCCTATGTAGTGCACTGTATAGGGAATAGGGTGCCATTTTAGACGGTCTGTGTGTGTCTGTGCGTGTCTGCGATCAGGTTCAGGGGTGAGTTAAATGTCCCTCTGAGCCTCACATGGGCCATGTTGGCACAAGGACAGAGATCCCCCTGGCCTGGTCCCCCCCGGCAGATCATCAAGTTGAATCCTCTGCCCTCAACACATCCCTCTTCCTTTCCTTTCATTCTGTACCGAGACCAAATACACAAATGTCTTAGTCCCATCTTTGTATGTTTAGCACTTACTTTTCGAAAGCATCATTATTATTATTATTATTATTATTATTGTTAAGTAAGTTATAGGAAATATACTTTTTGTACAAACACACCCATATTCAACATTATATCAAATTAAAATGAAGGAATCCATTTGGGTCTTCTGACCTTATGGATGACAATTTGCATTAGTTATTTTCCACAGCATGTCTAAATTAGGTTAGGTTTCGAATAGGTTAGCTTTGTGATCTGCGACAAAGCACTGATAGCACGCCCAGACATCCCATGAGCCTTGGCTTGAGCCCATGGTTTTATTGCACAATAATGAAGTCCTATTACATTGTTTGCACATCCTGTCCTCACATTTCAACTAAACTCACTATACTCACCAAATGGCCTGGTCGTAGAAATAACAAGGTTTTTGCACATTTCATTTTAAGCAATGTCGCTTGAGCTTATTGACTACAGTTGACATTATTTGAATAATGTGTCGCATTGGACCTACTCAAATTTGTTCAACAGAAATACATAAGTAGAATCATGTGTAGTCGACTCAATTGCGACACACAGATACTCAGCGGTGCCTATTTTGGATATCAAACAATCAATACATCAATATTATTAGCCATGGATGGTTTTCATTGCACTGAAATAGCCTCATTCTGTATCATTGCACTAAATGGTTTTTTTATCTGCCTTTTATGTTGAATTATGTTATATTTGTCATGAGAACAATACAAAATGTACAAGATCAATGCAAATAAACTGCATAGGTTGAGTGGACATTTGTATCTGTTTAGTTCCCTATGTATTTATTGCTACATTATAGAGTATTTCTTTAAGGTGAAGACATTAGTGAGAAAATGAAGGAAACGTTCATAATCACCAGTCTATTTAAGGTTTCTACAATCTTTGCTTACGCTAAGGGCTAAAAATGACTCAAAGCAGCAGACAGACAACACAATAAACCTTCAAGCAGTAAAAGTTAAAAATCCCTTTATTCTGGATCATTCATCAAGAAAAGTTGTGCTCTTTTTCCCCAAAGTAAATAATGCTTTACATTCGCCAAACAAAATAGTAATTGTGCCCTGCAATGGTATCATCCTTCAAAGAAGTAGCTAATGAATGTAGCTAAGACTTGCATTATACTGCACTGTATGCAATGTTAAAACAAGAAATTGGCTACGCTGAACAGATCGGTTTAGTTGTAGTCATCAATGACACAAAAGTATGGATGGCTTCTGCTGAGTGTTGTTAAAACCACTTCCAATAAGGCTGGAGGAGTGGTCAAACCAAACTACAGAAGAATTCTCATTGTTCATTACAGCCTTGGATAACTTAAATCTAACAGAACCAATTAATATATTAACTATCCCTTCATTAGTTGTACATGCTCAGTCCAAAGGAAAGTAAATAGTTATCCCCATTAGAAGGTTACAATATGTATCTGTTTTACAGTATCTCTAGTGTTAATGCTTTTAAGGTCATGACTAGCACCTCATGGAGACCTGTCTCAGTTTGCTGCTGATGAGAAGTTAAACAATTAGCCGACATTATGATATTTATTTTCTACATGAAAGACTATATTCAATATTCTTCCAGTGTCCAAGACTCTTGCCATTTAACAAAAACATGCATCTCAAAGAAAACAACAAGCATCTTGAATTTATCACAACCTTGTTTTGTTTAAATGGAGTATCCTGTCAGATATAGGTGGTGATACGCCTCTAACATAATATTAAAACATTGTCCTGCATGTATAGAGCAGAAATATTGATATAAATCTTCTAACTAGGTAATAAAATGTGTGATATACCAATGTCAATTGAACCATCAATTAAACACTGCCCAGGGATCATTTTTAATTCTCATATCTGGAATCACCCCCAATGGTGTTCAAAGTTTCAACAGAAAAATAATATAAAGTGCCTTTTTGGAAGTAAGACCAGCCAGTGTCTTCACAAAGGACCGAATAACTTAAGATCCATGTGCAGAACTAAAGTTTTTACACAAATCACCCCTTGACATCAGTGCATTCTTTTTTCAAAGTCCAGGTTAGGATTGAACCATTACTGAGGAGTGAAAAATTGTCTCCTGGCCTCACAGGACACAGGAGTGTGTCCCCATATGGACTACCCATCCAGCACCATGTTGAGATGGAGTGGGGCCCCTCAGTGGCAGTTCTGGCAGTTAGGGTGGCAACGCGCCCCATGGACTCGACATCCACAGCCTCCTGAGTTGTCCCCAGAACCCTGCATGGAGGCATCAGATACGTATGGGATAATCAACGAGCGGCTATGCGTTCCATGGATACGTATGGGATAATCAACGAGCGGCTATGCGTTCCATGGATACGTATGGGATAATCAACGAGCGGCTATGCGTTCCATGGATACGTATGGGATAATCAACGAGCGGCTATGCGTTCCATGGATACGTATGGGATAATCAACGAGCGGCTATGCGTTCCATGGATACGTATGGGATAATCAACGAGCGGCTATGCGTTCCATGGATACGTATGGGATAATCAACGAGCGGCTATGCGTTCCATGGATACGTATGGGATAATCAACGAGCGGCTATGCGTTCCATGGATACGTATGGGATAATCAACGAGCGGCTATGCGTTCCATGGAAAATAATGAACAATGTGGAAGGTGTGTTCCAAGACGTACTTAGCAGAGTGGAACTGACCTTCAACACAGAGTTGCATTATTTTCCAGAGAACGCATAGAGCCCCGAGTTGATTATCCCTTTTATACCATGGCTATAATTTAACACATTTACTGCTAGAAATGTGTTTATTTAGCAAGTTTACAAGATTGCAACAGTAGTTGCCTTGGTAACCAAACAAACAGACTTGCTAGTTTAGCTAACCAAACCATCAGTCCTAGCTTGCTATTATGAAAATCGAATTCAACAATGCCAATAATGTTTTCAATTATACTTTTGCTTTCAAAAGCAGCTCAAACATAGAACTTGTAAGAATGAACTCTAGCCATTGAATTCTACCGTGCAAATATACTGTGCGTTATGGGGAAATAATGCACGCTCTAGAATGCCCTTCAAGCCAATCAATGAGTATTCAACTATGCCATGGTATAAACTTGGTTAATACACTCAGTTCTACAGGATATTCAAAGCCTTATAGTACTGTAACATGTATTTAACAGCAAAGCAGTACTGGATTGAAGTAGGTGTGTATGTCAGTGAATAATATATACTTAAATTCTATCTGACCTGAGATATCTGAATGCTTTAATAAAGAGTATAGCATTCAAACTGGGCATGGTAAGTTTTAAATATTTTGGTGACCATAGTGATACACAAAAGTTTGTGGACAGCCCTTCAAATTAGTGGTTTCGGCTATTTCAGTCACACCCGTTGCTGAAAGGTGTATAAAATCGAGCACACAGCCATGCAATTTCCATAGACAAACAGGAGAACGCTACCTGCCCGAATGCATAGTGCCAACTGTAAAGTTTGGTGGAGGAGGAATAATGGTCTAGGGCTTTTTTTCATGGTTCGGGCTAGGCCCCTTAGTTCCAGTGAAGGGAAATATTAATGCTACAGCATACAATGACATTCTAGACGATTCTGTGCTTCCAACTTTGTGGAACAGTTTGGGGAAGGCCCTTTCTTATTTCCGCATGACAATGCCCACGTGCACAAAGCGAGGTCCATACAGAAATGGTTTGTCGAGATTGGTGGAAGAACTTGACTGGCCTGCACAGAGCCCTGACCTCAACCCCATCGAACACCTTTGGGATGAATTGGAACGCCGACTGCGAGCCAGGCCTAATCGCCCAACATCAGTGCCCAACCTCACTAATGCTCTTGTGGCTGAATGGAAGCAAGTCCCCGCAGCAATGTTCCAACATCTAGTGGAAAGCCTTCCCAGAAGAGTGGAGGCTGTTATAGCAGCAAAGGGGGGACCAACTCCATATTAATGCCCATGATTTTGGAATGAGATGTTCGACGAGCAGGTATCCACAAACTTTTGGTCATGTAGTGTATGTTTGAAATGGAGCCATAGGGTAGGTCTAATAAGGATAGTCTAGCATGGTGCGGTATTAGAGGGTTCGGAGTAGCTGTAAGAGTACAGTTCGGTGTAACTGAAGAGTAAAGACCAAATCAAACGAAACGCGGACGAGCGTCTACACGCTGGAATTAGAATGCACGGTAGTGAATGACAGAACAGACGGGCCGCGAGCGTCAACATGGTCAAAAGTGTCATGCGCTTCAAATTAGAAAGCAAGTCTATTTTCGTTTGATTTGGCCTGAACTGTCTTACGTTTGGTCCCCAGCGAGCCTGCTTGGTGACCCAGCAGATCTCCGTCTTACACATCAGGCAGCAGATCCAATCACAACCGTCCTTCTTCTGAACTATGACCTTACACTTAGGACAGTGCATGGCCTCCCCGTTCTGCAGTAAGGACTATCGAAGAAAACAACAGGAGCTCCAGGTTAGGTTTACCCATAGATATCACAGTTCAGTAGTGCAATAAGCCAATAGTAGGTTTAATCAAGATTAGGTTTACTCGTAGACTTCACATATGGGTTCGGTAGTGTAATAGGCTGATCGTATGTGTAATCTAAACCCATAAGCTTCATATTGCAGTTCAAAACTATAATGGGCCGATAGTATGTTTCCCCCCCCCAAAAAAAACCCTGTCAAATAGCAGTTCAGTAGTGTAGTATGTCATGTTCAATCAAAAACAGTGCTTTATCACTTAAAGGGAAGACTATCTGCTTGTTACCACATTACCTCCAGCATCTGTGTGGTCTGTTTGGCAGCCACGTCGTTCTCAGCTCTGATCCGGAGATCATCTTGATACTCCTTGCAGTTCATATCTTTGTGGATGGCCTTAAAAAGAGGTAGACAAAAAGGTTGTTGGCCAAGCACCTATCATTATCTTCATAATTATTTTTTGCACTCAAGGGGGGACGACAGAGGAAGAGTAAGAGAGAGAAACTTGACACACCTTGCAGAGGAGGCAGTTGGTCTCTTTGCAGAGCTCACAAATAAACTCATTGACTTCATCCTCAAAGATGCACCAGCCAGCGCAGTCTGGGGTTTTGCAGTGGTAGCTGTTCTCACTCCGCGTCTCAGCAATACTGAGCCTCAGCTCTAGAAACTTCTGGTGCTCCTCCTGAGAGAGAAGCTAAAGAGACAAAAAACAGGACACTGTATAGAGTACAACGGAATGGATTAAATATATGTTATGGTGATGAATATCTTTCACAAAAGCGTCTTTGAAAAGCACTATATAAATGCCATGTATTATTATTATTATTATTATTATAAGCACCCTACATTAATGATACAAGGTAATATCATCACTTGATACAGAGAGCTATAGTGAGATAGCCTGGGTACAGTTCTGTTTTTCCTTTAGCCAACAAAGCAAAAACTGACTGGCTGCCAGGCTAACGGCGAGAGCATCTGCAGGACTCACAGATTTGATCTCCCTGTCCTGCAGCTTTCTATCACAGCTGTAGTCTTCGTCCCCATAAGGGCAGGCCACCTCTGGATCCATGCTGTTCACGATGGTTCCTTTAAGACATTCCCTGTTTAGAGAAAACACGCAAATAAGAAGGCATTTAACCTGTACATGTCTCTAATTATTTTATTATTTAGATGGCAGTGCTGGTAGTTTTTTATTTATTATAGATAAAACATTAATGGGAACATCTCTAATATTGATACAAGGTCAGTAAGTATTTAATGTCTATATTATTAATAGCAGTGGAGCGACAGTGATCTACTCCAGATAGTACCAGCCAGGGCTGTGTCTCAATAGTTGTAGCTTTGTTTCCTCGTGCATGAGACAAGTAATGGAAGCCATTTTATAATATTAAGGATTGATCAAAATGTACAGAACGGTTACCTGGAGGGAAATTGCGTAGGGTCATGCTTTTTCAATCTCAGCCAAGGAGAGGATTTAGTATTTTTTCAATCTAATCCAGGGAGGGTTATGTCATTTGTAATTTCCATATTTCTCAGTGTTTTAGAATTAGTTACTTATTAGCCTATATATCAATGTGTGCCCGATGCCACCTCTCATCTCTGATTCACCACTGGGCGTGCAAGATCAAGTGCGCCTATAGGCTATTTAGTGTGGTCTCAATCCCCAATGATCCATAGGCTATGAAGTGCATGCTCGGAGAGGCACAGAGCAAAGTTACATTTCTAAGATAGCTGCTGTGAAAATAAAACTAGGCTGCATTACACACGGCAATGGATATTCCAACCCTGAGCCCCGGCCTGCTCTGCTCTTGCTGATCCAAAACTTTTTTGTGTGCTGCTTAACCAATGGCTGTGCTGTGTAGGCCTATGGTGGTAGTTCAGGAGGAGAGTCAAAGGTTTCTTCTGAAAATATTTGTTTTATTAGGCCTGCGTGCGGACTAGCCTATGTTCTGTTCAGTTGAGGAGAGCGCGAAGATGAGAAGGAGGACCGGAGGTCAACTTTGATAGCTTGCTACTACTATAATTAATTTGATTAAAAACAATGTTTCTTGCCCATGATGTATTTATCACAGTTATTGACCTCACAATATTCGAGTAGCAGCAGCCGCGTCACAATCAATCGAAATGGACAGCTCATGGTGCTGAAAGTAGGCAAATTCGAGTAGGCATAATTGATTTTAACCGTATTGATTTTATTTAGACTACTAACAACAAGAGGGCCTTATTTTGGAGCCTATTTCTTCCTATTTAAGAAATAAAGAGGTAGGCCTACCTGTTTGACAGACGAAATTAGGCTATAGGCTGGTATAGCCATAGATTTGTCGGTCAATTCCTCCACCCACAACCTTCTGGCCTGCAGCCCTGTGCGCTATCAAATTTCCTGCGTTGCCATGTAATGCTTATAGGACGAAGAACAGTTTCTAAACCTGCATATCTAAGGCTCTGGTCTGTCCAGGAAGTGAGGGTAAATGGTAGCCATGTTCTCTGCTATCTATTTGTTAGAATTATTATTTTGGGTATAGGGGAAGGTCACTTGTTTTTTTTCAAGCGTTCACAGAGGGTTTAGGTAAAATATATTTTGTTGTAGCCAAGATGTGTCATACCTGCAGAAAACATGGAGGCACTCCCGCAGTGTGGCTCCCTCCCCTGGCGGAATGGAGCAGTAGCAAATAGGACAGTCCAGCTCCTCTGTGTTGGGGACGAGGCTGTGGGCGTCTGTTTCCACCAGACTCAGGAAATTCCTCTCCCGCTCTTCCGCCAATGCCTTCCTCGTCCCACAGCAACAGAGGGGTAAAATTAAGGGAACGCTGTCTTTCTCATTTAATAAGGTGGCTACACACATTACAATAGTCACACCAGGACATACCAAGTATATTTTTAGCTATATGTAATGATGACATGATTGTCACGAAAATCTTACACGTGCATATCTCATATCTTGCAACTCATATCTTGTATAAAGCATTCACCTGCTGGTACTGTAGATTGGCCATCTCCTCTAGCTGGAGTCTCTGGACCTCCTGCTCATCAGGCTGGTAAACCTCAGGTACTTTATAATCTTCTGGTCTTTCAGACCCACACATCTCACAGCCCGGTCGCGTTGGCTTGTTAGCATAGGTGCACACAGAGCATGACCATCCCACCTGGTTGTCCCCCCACACACACACACACACACACACACGCATGCACGCACACATTATTGTAGAAACGGGCATGGTTATCGTATATGTATACAATGAGACATTGCACAGTTTGCATTATAATCTTACTTGAAGCTTTGGTGGTGGAGGAGGAGAGGCTGGGTGTTTAGTTTTGGGAGGTGGAGTTGGTCCAGTTGCTCCTCTGGCTAGTAGAGGACTCAATGACTCGATGATACCTACACCATAATGGCAACAAGTCAAAATACAAACATGGCAGTCTAAAATGGGGGAAAACATTTAAAGTTATAGGTTGGTGTAAGTGTGCATGTGTGTGTCACAAGCTGATACGTTGACAACCTGTGCCTTGCTCAGTATACTAGGGTCTTATTGGAAGATTAAACGGTGCTGTATGACGGAGTGTCCTTACTGTCTAGCCGACGGTGCTCCTCCTCCTGGTTCACTTGTTCCCGGCTGAGGTTGGCAGCCTGGGCAGACTTGATGTACAGGTAGGCCTGGTCTCCATTCTTCCTTACCCCATGGCTGTACAGAGTGTTAGAGTCCCGGGCCAGACGCTTCCCGATCACCCAGCTTTGCAGAGATGGATGAAATCCATAGTCAGTATTGATCTGTAGAGAGAAATTCAAGAATGCATGGGGACTCGGTCGCCACTTTTTTTCACGGCAAATATGTGTATTAAATATAATGAGTAAATATCAGAGCTGTTGGTGAAAATGGCTTGCAACAATTATTTATTTTACCTTTTCTTTAAGATCTGAAATGGTCATGTTGAGTGTTACCAACAAAGTAACAGGAACATAATTTTCTGACTGTGCATCCCCGACTCCCACCTTCAACCTGCAGCAAAGTAACCAATAGAGGTAACTGGGTCTGAATTTCTAAAACAACACAGTTACAAAGGTTTCACTATTCCTTAAAGCTGCAATATGTAACCTTTTGGGCGACCCAACCAAATTCACATAGAAATGGAAGTTATAGATCTGTCATTCTCATTGAAAGCAAGTCTAAGAAGCGGTAGATCTGTTCTATGTGCACTATTTCTATGCTTCCTGTGCTTAAGTTTCTTATTTGCATATTTTACTTTTGGTTTTGTACACCAGCTTCAAACAGCTTAAAATGTAATATTTTTGTTAATGGAAAATATATTTCACAGTGGTTTAGATGGTATAATGATTATCTACACTATACTTGCTTGTTTTGTCACAGAAACTGAAATTAGGCCAAATATTAGAATTTTAGCAACCAGGAAATGGTAGAGCGATTTCTGCATAGTGCATCTTTACATTTTTCAAGATGGTGAGAGATTGTGTAAAGTAAGTAATCCACAATCGCTTGTATCTAATAGCTTGTTACATCGTAATTACATGTTGATTATTCCACTTGCCTTTATTCTGTTATAGGCTAATCCTATGTAATGTAAAGTATGACCCAACAGAATACTACTAAATGATTCCACATACCGAATAGAGTGTTGGGAGTAAGCATTGTGGGAGATCCTGACAGATACTGGTACACACAACTCTGCCAGCTGCTCTGAACACCTCTTGGCTTCCTTTTTGTCACCACAGCTGATGGCCTCACTCAACAACTGGGATAGCTCCTCCGCTGCAATAGAAAAATGCACAGAACAACACTCAATACTCTATTAAACGTGGTCAAAAAGAGACCAGATATTGTACGTTTAACATTCATATGATGTCATACTATCATTGCTCTTTGGCCCTTTATTGACCTGCCCATTTAGACGTGATCAGGAAATCAGATAGGAGAACCACACAGACGTATGCCTAACTATTATGAAAACTCTTTATTCTTACCCTCTTCTAAGTTGCTTGTGAAGACCTCAGGCGAAGTCATAGTTAGACCTATTTTAAGAAATGACAAGAATCAGAAAGTGATGATACAGAGAAGAATAACACACAGTGAAAAACAACATCATGTGAAATGGAAACGTTCACTTTGACAGCACTCTATCCCATAAGGAAGACGATTACTATTAATATTGTATTGTATGCTAAACGGCATTTGATACTTTACCCATAAGTATACAGAGGCTACGAAAATTGAGAGAGGGAAATGTGCATAGACTGGGTCGCACAGGCTGAAGGTGGTAAGGCGCACGAGCTTCAAGCTGGTAAAACTTCTCAGCTGATCAGCGGGCAGTTACGTAATAGGGCTATCAGGCTTCTTCATACAGTTTCCTCATCTGTTCACAATTAACTTACCTTTCTCTCGCCTCAAAATTGAACGTAATTATAGAACTTGAAACCACTTCTCTTTACGTGTAGCTACTTCATTATCAAGATCAGAAGGCTAGCTAAATGAAAAATGAAACTAAACTTAGCTAGCTATAGTCAGGAAGTACGTTTTTAAAGAATAATTTGCATATTGCAATTTATGACATATCAGTACCGTACATAGATAGTGATGAGAGACTGCCGTTACATAACATCCAGATAGACCAATATGTATTTTAATAATTGTGTGTGTTAACTTACTTATCGTGCAAGTCTACTGTAACCGGACGAAGAGGGGGTGTTATTATAACACGTCATTGCATGTTTATATGGCCCCATTGCGCCCCCTAGAGGCAAAATGCGGTAAAAGAGGAACTGGGCTTGTAGGGAAGAAGGAAGTGCAGTTACACTGAGGAAGGATCAAAACAACAAAATTGGTTTGCTGTTTTTACAGACAAATTCAGGTGCATATCGAATGCGAAAGGCTTCGAGAAGCCTGGGATTTCTCTTTAAGTTCTGATACAAAAGCTGGGATGAAGATTTTTGTATCTAATTTCAGTTTATTTAATGGCAGGTATTGGAAATTTCACAGTAAAAAGGAAGACATTTTTATCAGAAATTTAAGTGCCTTAAGCCATCGACAAAGATATTTACATAATCCATAAATTAATCGTGCAATGTTGAATTTAAAGTTTGTGATTGAAATTGGTTACTTTGGTATTGAATTAAGCGAGCGCTAGATACACAGAACTGTTTTGCGCGCGCGAGCGAGCTGGGATCTTCATTCTCCACGGCCGGTTGTCTCGGATGTATTTAAATGCAAGGCAAGCTTTGTTGCACGATTAGCAAGATGGCTAGCTCCATTAGCAAGGCAGCTTGATAGGCCTGAAACGTTTATGCGTTCTCTGTTTTTTTTAACGACACATTTGACCGAGTTTATTTGTTGTGGGCCAGTACATAGCTAATTGTTAGGCTAACTATATTAGTACGACCATTGTTGAATATCTTAACTAAAGTGTGCAAAGCAAGACAGGGTTGCAAAGACAAGTGACATTTTGTTTATCAGAATTGAATTGATGACCTGACCTCCTGGTGGTGACAGATTGCAGTGTAGTATTCAAGCCTAGGTACTAAACAGGGGATGAGTTCATGCACTTTTGCAAAAGAAAACATAAACTGTCAAGATGAAACTCCTGGAAAATTCAAGTTTTGAAGCCATAAACACCAGACTCACCATTGAAATGGGAGACTGTCAGATAATAGGAAGGTAAGTTCTCAACACTTCAATAGTGCCACCAGCCCATTTGGTATGTAGACCTAGAAATTGACATTTGCACAGAATTTGACAGCACTTCAATGCCTTGCTATGAAGACCTAACACAACTGTGTTACACAGGAAGTCCATTTTCAGCAACCACGTAATTTGCTTAAGTGGATGCATGATGTGATGAACCATTCACTGTTTTGCACCGTGTCTTTCCTCAGGATCGAAAGCTACTCTTGCAAGATGGCAGGTGAGGACAAGCAGATGTTCAAGCAGTTCTGCCAGGAGGGACTGCCTCATGTCCTGGAAGCCCTGTCCCCTCCACAGTCCTCAGGAATCAGCCCCAACAAGTAAGACTTCAGTTCACAGTACACCACCACCATAGAAACTCAGAGGTCAAGTTTTATTAGTCGTATGTACGTGATATGCATGGTATACATCGTCCAACGAAATGCCTACTTGCAGGTTCCTTCTGGACAATGCAACAACAATTAGAAATAATTCAAGATAAGAATATGAACATGAAGTAAATGGCTAAGTAGAGTAGAATAGAATAAACATTTTAGCATAAGTATAATACAGGAAGGCACAATTTATAGTCCAATAGTTACACATGTATTGGGGATGGGGCCAGTGTATAAACTGAGCAGTATAATAAGAGTCTGGTAGCAGCAGTTGTGATGTGTGTGTAACATGAATGTATATGTGTGTGGGTGTGTGCATGAGTGAGTGAATGTGTGCTATGGTGCGGAGAATCCGAGCAGGTGGTCAGTCCAGTTCGTGTTCAGCAGTCTGATGGCTTGTAGATAAAAACTGTCTCTGAGCCTGTTGGTATTAGTGATGGGCATTCCGAGTCTATTCGGTAAGCTGGCTTATTTGGCTCTGTTCACGTAAAAGAGACGGTTCATTTGGCTCCCAAATCGACCTAGAACCATGAAAAAATTGCAAATCTTCTATGTAAAGCCCAAAAGGTAAGCTACCATTATGTCAGATCGTGAAATGCACGTTCACATGTTGTTTTACCTGCCAAAATTATTATATGGACCTTAGAAAATTATTTTGTAACTTATCCGCAGAAAAACGTTGTTTTGAGCTCAAAAAGCAGTAGTAGCAGTATGCAAATCAGGGAGCCAAATGAACAGCTCTTTCACCGAGGTGATTCGGTTCCCGACGTTCACCAAAAAGATCCCTTCAAAAAGAGCCGTTTGTTCGCGAAAGACCCGTCACTAGTTGGCATCAGACCTCATGCTCCGATACCGCCTGCTCGACAGTAAGGGAGAGAACAGCTTGTGGCTAGGGTGTGTGGGGTATTTGATGATGATGATGCGTGCGGTCCTCAGGCACCGTTTTGAGTAGATGTCCTGGATGGGTGGGAGCACGGTCCCAGTGATGTACTGGGACGTCTTCACCACCCGGTCAGGACGCTCTCGATGGTGCAGCGGTAGTATTTGCCGATTTTCTTCAGCTGCTTTAGGAAGTAGAGATCTATTCAGTACTTGGGAGAAATGATCAGTGTTTTGCAGATGCACGTAGAGCACACGCACAGTATAAAGTAGATGTATAACATAGTGAATTGAATCTGTTCTAGTCATTACACTTCTATCTGTACTCTGTAATGCCCATGGCCTGGTTACATGAAGACCTAGAAGAATCCTGTAGTTCCTGTCAAGCAAACAGTTGAAATGACAAGTATGCACAAGTGTGCACTGAACATGTTCATAACACTAACTAGTGTGTGGTTTTGTGCTGTGGTTGTAGGTTGAGCCAGAGTCAGAGTGGAGACGAGGGGGAGGGGCCTCTCTCTGACAAGTGCAGCAGGAAGACCCTCTTCTACCTGATCGCCACCCTCAACGAATCCTTCCGCCCCGACTATGACTTCAGCCGCACCAAGAGCCACGACTTCAGCAGAGAGCCCAGCATAAACTGGGTGAGGATTTAACATCTCCTACCTACACAACAGTGCCTGTACCTGCCTCACGTTGCTGGTATGAATTGCTTACACCAGAACCAGCGTATTCTGCTGGTTTTGCGTCGTGGCTTTCACTACACAGTAGCAGGAGTTGATTGGGCTTGACGTGCCGAGGCAGCTTGTACACGACCCAAAGCCTGTCTGGTCTCATGTGGTATGAGACTGTAATCCATTACCTGGAGGACAAAAGGCTTGGGAAGGGGACTAACAGATCAACTCCAAAATGAAAAGTATAACACAGTGCTTGAATCTAGTAGTCGATGTCTAGACATGGTCAGTGTTGGCTAAATCCTAACATGGCCTGATAAACACAAATGTTCTGCGTTTTGTATGGCATTATTAACACAGTGTATGACGCTAGGTGTTCAACGCGGTGAACAGCAGTTTGTCGGCGGCGGCTGGGGAGGAGTACAGTCGGCTACAGCCCCAGCTGTGGGAGGCCATCGACACAGAGATCTGCCTGTCAGAGTGTGACATCTACAGGTGAGCAATGCCATTTTTTTCTTAAAGGTGGAGAGGGTTTGTGTGGTCTGGAGTTGGCAGCGCTATCTCTACACCAGACTCCGGCACGAGCACCGCCACCTTTAAACACATGAGGAGACATACAGGTAACTGACAAAATAAAGGAAACATCAACATATGTCTTAATAGGGTGTTGTGCCACCACGAGCCGCCAGAACAGCTTCAATGCACCTTTGCATAGATTCTACAAGTGTCTGGAACTCTATTGGAGGGATGCGACACCATTCTTCCACAACAAATTCCATAATTTGGTGTTTTGTTGATGGTGGTAGAAAACAGAATCTCCCGTAAGTGTTCAATTGGGTTGAGATCTGGTGACTGAGACACACACACCCTTTAAACCCCCTATGCTCCTTTGAGACCCCTCTTTCAAAGTCACTAAGATCTATTTTTCTAGCCATGGTAGCCAAAATAATGGGCAACTGGGCATTTTTATATTTGAATTTAAGCATGATGGGATGTTAATTCCTTAATTAACTCAGGAACCACACCTGTGTGGAGGCACCTGCTTTCAATATACTTTGTATCTGTCATTTACTCAAGTGTTTCCTTTATTTTGGTAGTTACCTGTACATTTAGTTTGTGAACCAGAATGTAAAGGCCATTTTGTTTTGGATGTTGCAGCTACAACCCAGACCTGGACTCTGACCCGTACGGAGAGGAGGGGAACATGTGGTCCTTCAACTACTTCTTCTACAACACAAGGCTGAAGAGGATCGTCTTCTTCACATGCCGCTCGGTCAGGTAAGACTGAAGACTTTAAAACACATCATTATTACAGTTTTGTGCTCTGTATTGAAAGTCCTCTATTTTAAACTTGACTGCTGACGTGCACAGTTCTTTGGGATTGTATTAAAATTGGACTAATGAACAAAATACAAACATATTATTTTTGAGTGAACTATACCGTTTTTAACTTCTCATGTCCATTTAACGAGACGGTATGGTATTATTTTATCTGAGTGGAAATCATCTGTTTACAATCTGAACATGGTTGATCAAAGACAATATAACTGCATACTGACAATACGATCAATGAAATAAATACTTATATTTTGCTCAAAGCTCAATGCAAAGAACGAGGGAAGGGATAGAAATTAAGCTAGCTCACTAGCCTGAGGCTAGTACTTTTCAGACTGGGCTGGTAGAAACTAACCCGCCAGACCAGTGACATTTTGTCTTTTCAAACATCGCATGGCACAGATTTTGGACCCAAATGTTACCTAGGCCAGTAGAAATCTGTCTACTACTCCGACTGGCGAATGCCCAAAATACTTATATTCCATCCCTGAAAGAAATGCTTATACATTGATGTGGTCTGTGGTGAGCAACATTTGCTTTTGTCCCTGTGTGTTAGTTTATTCATGGCCCCACGGGACTCTGGCTTTGGTAACGAACTGGATCTGGAGCTGGATGAAGATTGTTATGATGAGAACATGGATGAAGAGAGGTGAGGAGGACACACTGCCTTTCCCCAAATAGAAAAACCTCAAATGTGATTGGTTTCGAAAACATAGAGAATGAAACAGTTTTACGGTCTTTGTATGTTGAATTAGTGCTGTTCATGGATGCATCGTTTAGATCGGTCTAATCTTCTAATCTAAACCATGTATTTGTTCTCTCAGTAGGTATGGTGCCCTGTGTGCCCAGTGATGCGCCAGTCCCAATCTCATACAGGAGCAGATAGTATACTTGGATGTCTGTCTGTACCCACGTCGCCACCATTTCTCTTACAACACATCTTAAACTTGTTCGGGTTGGGATTTTACTTATATTTTTCTTCTTCGTAATTTGTGTGGTGGACCTCATATTTTACTGCAGAAGTCAGACTGTGAGCGTGGAGCTCTGTTACTTTATTTGTGTATCGTTTTAGTTTTCCATTGCTATGTTCTCCTTACCTTGTTTATCAGAAGCAAAAGCTTTATGTTTGGCGTGTGTTTTGTTTGACCTAGTATTGGAGCAGGTTCTGGCACTCATTAATTTGCAACATATTTCACATTCTCTATGCTGTTTCTTTGTTTTTGGTAAGAAAAGTTTGGGATTTTTATGATCACGTTCAGTTTTTTCAGCTTTACCATTCCAAAGTGTGGTTGTTCTAGTACCAAATTGACTCAAGATTTAGGTTTAGGACCCTTTTCAGACTGCATGCTTGAGGGCATGTTTTAAACACAAGGGGGCAGACTTAACTTAGCTGATGAAAAAGTAACATACCAGCTTGAATCAGTCTGGCTCTTGGATATGTTCTACCTTCCATACCAATGCTACTCAAACCTACAATGTTTTAATTTATTTAGCGACAGGACTTAGTGCAGTCTATAGTTTTATGGGTCAAGCCAGCAAATACAATTCTGCTGCATCGCTGTTCCAAAAGCACTCCAGAATCTAGTTCTGATTCTCAATTCCATTATGTGTTTTAAGGACTTGAGTGTGTCGGTGTGACACGTGAATTCTCACACCAAATACAAACTCTGCCTGTAGAGTGTACTGTTTGAACCTAATTTACATATCTTGTATTTTAATATAACTTTAAACGCCTTTTTAGGTATTGCTTTAGTTGAACAGTTTTTAGTTTGTCTGAGTAGTTTTATGATAGCAGAAGTCTAGCTATAGAGCAGGTTTCCCTTTAGTCCAACTGTTGCTCTCCCACTGTGTGGCGTTTTGAAACAAATCTAGTCTGAGTTTCCTTTCACCTGAAAAACTCCCAGTAGAGATCTGTGATGCCTATCGTCCAACTTTCATTATCAAATGACGCATGATGGAAATATACTTAATATATAGAATAACGCATTTGTGACTAATGGGAGGACTGAAGGCTACCTATTTAGGCCTAGTAGTGTGAGTGGTTGATTAGCCAGAAATCGATCCTCACAGCTACTGTATCAGCATTATGTTTGTCCTACTGACTACTAGCAGGACCGTGTTTCTGTACGGATGTAGGATCTTCATTTGATCACCCTGTTGCAGGATAACTTTCCTGCAATGCAGGACATTTCAAACTTGTGTATTTGAGGTTTAAAAAGTAATTTCCACTTTGACATTTTAGACTGGATTTTCCCTTATGAAACATGTATCAACCCCTACAAAAATGTCAATGAATTATAATCCACATAATAATTCACATTTCCTGTTTCTGCAGGATTATTTTCCTGCTGTAGCAAACTGGCTCAAATTAAGATCCTACATCTGTATGTGGCATAAGTCTTGCTCTTGGCTGTTTTGTTAAAGTAAAATGTGACAAAGACTCATCCTTTGTACGTTAGGTACAAAATAGTAGAACGATACAGGTGGGTATTGTAAAGTTGCATCCAGTCCCTTCTATGTGATGTATATGTATCTGCCTCTAGTGTAGAACATGCTTCCTAGAGATGTTGATACCACAAACCTGTCCTGAATTTATTCAGATATTGATTTCAAATGTCAACAACATCCAAAGTGATCAGCATATTGGCTTTTGACAACCGTACTTTGCGCAGGTAGATATGGCTACAGTACATATTTCCTTGTTGATTGTCTGATTCTTTGTCTACTTAGCAGCGGTTTGTAAAATGTAAATGTAGACATACATTTCACTGTTGATTTGTTGTGATCAATTTGGCCAATGTGTGATAACCAGGTGGTTGTCATGGTAGGGACAGACAGGCTTTTTTGTCTGACTTCCTGACAATATGGTCCAATTACAGTAGGCTAACTCTTTTGCATCAGAGCCACATTTATTTTAGTCTTGTGTTAAAGACCAGGATATATTATCTGTCAAAACATTTCGTTTAAAATTCCCATCGCAAGGTTGACCGATTTATTGAATACATTGCAGAATAGTTTCATTTTCTTTCTGGCACCTTTTAAAGACCTCATACTTGTGGTTTTATTTCTCAACTTGTATCATTTTATTTGTCACCAACTTAGCATGTACAATAAAGGTCTTGACTAAAACATCTGTTTTTAAACACTGATTTAAATAATGTTGATGTGTAATTCTCTAGTCAAACTCAGGTGAGATTGGTTTTCTTTCTAAATCGATGTAATCCAACCAGTACAAGACTTGGAATGAGACTAGGTAGTGCATCATTACTATTGTCAGTAGTAGCAGAAACCCTACAGATATATTTACTATTAAGTATGAATTGGTCATAACCTCGATCCTTGCACAGTTTTGCGTCACTTATATTCACAATATTCAGTTCCACTGTACATCCTGGTATTAGTCAAAGCTGAATCAAGACGTGTTTATAGTTTACATTTCTTGATTCCTGGAATTATTTTTCTGACCCTGACCACGAAAATAGAGATTGGGTAATGAAGTGTTACAATCATCTCTGACGACAAAGTTTGGTCTTATCGCAAAAAAGGCTGATTTGCAAACAGTCAGTTTGTTCAAGGATTTATTTTTTACTGGCAACAACAAATACTTTTTTACTTTTGTTTACAAAAGTACATCCACCAACATCAGAAAAAAAATGTAGTGTGTACTTTTCTTACAATATAAAAAAAAAAAAAAAAAGTATTTACAAAGTCACAATAAGAGCTGTGGCTTAGTGTAGGATCTTAAATCCATTTAGGGTCAGCGAACTGCATGCAGGCTTTATCACGAATAATACACAGTACTATGTAATGTATGTGATACCTTTGTTTCTTCAGGCCAACAGATACTAACACGATGTCACCATTAAATGGGTAATCAAGTTGTTTAAAGTACACTACAGCACTGTATTCTTCAGGATCTAACCCACTGCACTATATACTTCTACAGACATTAACTCACTCCTGAGGTAATGATGACTACACTTGTCTAGGGATCTAGGACACCATGCTAACTCTGACATCACACGTTCTTCAGAAAACATTCAAACCCTGTGACCGAGGCGAACGATCACTGAATCACAGATCACTAAAACTGTATCGGCACACCATAAGTGATGATTGTGGGTAGCCTAATGCTGCGTTCATAACCAAGTGGGAAGGTGGTAATTACTAGTTGTGAAGTCGTAAATATCAGTTGGATGCATTCACATGCTTTAAACTTGTTGAATGCCGATTTGGCTAATGGCCAACAAGTTGTCAACCAAAAACTAAAAGTACAGCTATCATGCTTGTGAACAAATTAGTGTTCAAAAACATTTACATCATTTAGCAGACGCTCTTATCCGATAAATAATGTTTTGTTGCATTTAACTGCTGGAAATGCTGTTAAAGGTAATTTCCTTGGTAGGTGACCTCAGATCAGCATGGAGAAGTCGGAACTCAGGGATGATAGATGAGTTTCCCACTAGTAATTACCAGTTGGAGGGGCGTTCAAGTGGATTGTTCCCAGTCGTATGTGGTAAATACGACCTTCCCACTAGGTTATGAATGCAGCATTAGTCTTTGGTAAAGCAAAACTCAGTGAACTTTTGATAGGGATATAAGGGGGGGGGGGGGGGGGGGACTAAATGTAAACTGTGGTTATGAAAACAAGGCACTTCAATGGTTGGTAGGATCTAGATGTCACTAAAATATATAAACAATAGTAGGCCTACATAAAGGCACAAAATGTGCATCAAGTATTCCAGGATGTCGTCAAGTTCGGAGGTATCAATCCTGTCAGATATAGATCTTCAATTTAGTGTTCCCATCTGAGTTACTCACAACAAAAAATCTGGTAAAACTACTGCTTTTTGCAAAGGGGAATACAGCTCGACAGACTGCTTCCATAGGGCATGTTATCTGAATACTTTTCATCTGTTCTTCCCATTGAGTCAAAACATATTTCCATTGGTTAAAGCACAATCGTTGGGTAGCTTTTGAAAAGCACCTTTCTTGACGTTACACTACAGTGCGGGACTAACTGCATTGGACCCTAGACCAGCAGGTGTACACCTACCTTGAAGGAGGCGTCTGTTACGTGGCCAGGAGATACAGTAGTTGGTAGTTACTGTTGTCTGCAATGTCAACAGATACTTTGACACTGAACTATGTTATACATTTGGTACCACTTCAGATTAAGGGCCCTGCATAACACATTCATAACTTCTTCAAAAGCATAACTTCAACATCTATACATGCTAATGTCTAACAGCAGGTTAACAAAGCTTTGACAGCATTGACATACCAAGCTGCAATTAGACATTTGCAATGCCTTATGACTGATATGTTTCTTAAAATGTCACCAAACTTCATGTAGGGAGAAAAAAAAAAACTGCATTACCAGTATACCCTATATGGAGATAATACTGCTGTACTTGCATCAGTAGGACAAAGTGGACGATGAAGGACAGAGGACATTTACATTTTTTATTCTAGAAACCCGTGTCTTCGGTGTAGCTGGGGACCACTTGGTCAGTGCAGTTCCTGGGGTTGAGGTGCGTGTTAGGTGTTGTGTTGTTGGAACAGTTCAGCCACGGGTGGAACAACAGCTCCGAGGCCTCCAGTCTCTCTGAGGGAGCTTTTCGCAGCATGCAGCACACCAGCGACTTGGCCTGCACTGAGAGCGACTCTGGCACCGTGAACGCCCCCCGGCGGATCTTACTGAAGAGCGCAGCAGGCTCCACGTCTTGGAAAGGGTAACGTCCCACCAGCATGGTGTACAGCACCACACCCAGGCTCCACACGTCGGCAGCCTTCCCTGAGTAGGAGTGGAGCGAGTTGAGGATCTCGGGGCCCACGTAGGCCGGGCAGCCGTGCTTGTCCGTCAGAGAGTCGTCGTCCCCGTGGAGCAGACATGAGTCTTCCAGGTTCTGAAGAACAAGCTTGGTCCTAAGGAGAACCAGAGAGAGAGGTTGAGTCATCATAGTAATCAAATCCCCCATGGTGGGACATGTTTTCTGCTTTGTGTGATTTACAGGAGGTGCACTGGGTCATATGCATGCATAATACAGTGGCTTACATAACTGTCTGGAATGACACCTGTGTTTACAGGGTTGGAGAAATTACAGTCCTATATGACATGGTTGTTATGATGGTGTGATTAAGGCGTCATGAAGATCTTTAGAGTCGTTTTAACAGTTGCCTAACTAAAGGGCTTTCTTTAACAGTGACATAATGGAAGTAAACAGTCCACATATGCCTGGCCGTCTAAACATTCAGATGATTAATTTGGGCCAGGTCTCAGTCACTACTGTAAGGCAATCCAACCTGCAAACAGATGATCCAATGATCATGTTCCTCAGCTAAAACTCAATTAAGTTAAGAAAAGTATCAACTACTAACCTCTGCTTGTCCACGAAGACAAACTTGCGCAACTTGAGGTCACGCAGGACAACACCGTGCTCGTGACAGTGGGCCACGGCCGCTGCCATCTGGCCGAAGAGACGCACCGCCTCCTCCTCCTGGAGCCGCTTGCACGTGCGCACGTAAGAGTGCATGTCACCGTAGTTGCGCTGAAAGAAGACGTAGACGCTGCGCTCGCCCGTCACCACCTCTGCGATGCGGCAGATGTTGTCGTGAGGCAGTAGGCGGGCGTAGGGGGCAATGAGTTCCTGGTACCGCCTCATAGAGAACACCTGGTAGAGGACACAGGGTAGAGTTATGTTACAGTTCTGAGTTCATAAGGTCACGGTCAAATTACAGACTGGACTACATTACAGCTATGCATATTCTTTATCTCCGGAGGATAATGTACCCACTCTTGAGTGCCAAAGAACACCATGTGTTCCTGTGCCTATGACAAATAAACTGAACTTGAATGGCACAAAAGGGATGTGTGTGCATAGGTTGATTTCACAGGCACAGTATCAAGCAAGTACCGACAGACAGTTGATTAAGCAAACCGAGTGTGACAGTCACACCACTCTATCCGGTCATGTAGCTACAATACGTACCTTGCAGGTGTACTCCTGCTCTGTGACCCTATGGATGGCCCTGTACGTCTCTGTCCCCTCTGTGGGTTCAAGGAAGACGTAGGGCCCAATGCAGGACACACAGTGGTGGTTGGAGCCCACGGGGCCCGGGCTGTGGCTCAGGGGCCTCAAGCAGGGGGCCAGGCCGGGGGATGAGGGTGGCAGGCTCAGTCGAGGACGCTTGCATTTCAGGGCCTCTGTGTAGTCCTGAGGGTCGTCCAGCTCCAGCCGCTTCAGCCGCAGGGGACGAGTAGGCGCAGGGGCGGGAGAGGAGATGTTCACACTCATCTGAAAGAGTCGCATGGGTTGTTTTACATTTGACATTTTAGTCATTTTAGCAGACGCTCTTATCCAGAGCGACTTACATTTACAATTAGTGAGTGCATACATTTTCATCCTGGTACCCCGTGGGAATTGAACCCACAACCCTGGCGTTGCAAGCGCCATGCTCTACCAACTGAGCTACACGGAACATGTCTCAAGGGAGTTTTAGTGGGTTTCATTGTGATATATGTAGGACATGACTGAACCACATGGTAACCTGTAGGCCTATCCTAGGGGGTTGTATGATTTGTGTTTGATAGGAAATGTGGAACCACATTTCAAATGCACAATTAAATAACTACCTAGAAGAACTCACTGTGTGCAAATACTGTATATCCCCTTTTTTCTTGCACATACAAAGCATAATTGACAACATGGAGAGCAGACGAATCATATCCACTATTAAACAGTGCCTAATAACAGGCTAAAAGTTATTGGATGACGCCATGGAGCCTCGACTGGTGAGTAATGTTGCCTGTCATAATATGCATTACTCAAATTACTGATAGTCTCTTTCGAAATGGGGCTAGTGAGTCATTCTCAGACAGTCAAATGAAAAAATAAGTTAGAAATACATAGACGGACGTCATGATAAAAGTGACGTCAGGCTTCCCTTAGCTTGCGCCAAGGCCTGAAGTTTTACAAGTAAAATAATGATTATGATAAATTGACATTATAACTAGAAGAGGTCACATTGGGGTCATGTTATTAGTCAAAATAAATATTTGTTGAACCGGACGAAACTGGTCAGACCAGCGAGCAATTCTGAGAAATAGTTAGCGCGAGCTCAGGGGGGATACTTCACCGAGCGCGAAGAGTGGTAGGGAGAGATGCACCATCACTTTCTAAAGTTTAACATTGTTGTTTCACGACAACATACACGTTAAAAATCTATGACTTTTCAATACAGGTCGGGACTGCAAGCAACCCCTTCAACTGTATAATAATAAAAACATGGATACTGAGGTAGGGTGAAAATTGTGAACAAGTTCTTACCTTGGCAGTGGAAGACAAAGGGGTCCGCTCTCCAGAACAGAACAATGGTATCGTAACTCCAGCTTTGGGTGTAGTGCTTTGCTTGTCAAGAAACTCGAAATGTGCAGTGCTTGTCTAGAAACTCGAAATGTGCAGTAACCGTAGCAAAACCATTGCGGTGTAGAGGAAACCAAATAATTTTGAGAGCTTGGTTCAAGGGAGTCTTTGTAACTTATTTACAGTTACTTGTGCAAATTATCGAACCATAAAATATGAGTTCAAATTAGCATTCGTCGGTTGTTGTGCGGGATGTCTGTTTACATATCCAAAGCAAAATATGTATTAAAGTCCTTTACAAACTGAATAGGTTATTTTGTTTTGAAGAGAGGCGGCAACACCGGTGTCTCTAATGTTGTTGGTACAGATGCCTTTGTTCCTTATTCCCGGTGTGTAGCGACTTGTGTATCCAGTGTTTTCCTTGAGTCTTCAATTGCGAAACGAGGACAGGTTTTCTAAACCGGAGGCTTTTAGTAGAAATCCAGCAAAACTTTCTATAAATAGAGAAAATACACACGTTTAAAGGCTCTTGCTCAATAATGAAGAAAGATAGCCTACTTGTCCGAAGTAGTTATGGAAACTCGTGGACGCGTCCAGATAAATAATTGGTCATAGGGAAGAGTAAGCTACACGTCCCCTATTTGGTCACTTGCGTAATAAACCTTTAATTTGGAAATTGAGTCCCTAAAAAGTAGAATTCTAATCAGACGTGCCCCCACCGACTGCCCGTCTGATTTAGAATGGACCCGACAGCGCATTGGCTTCAAATATCCTTTATGTTACAGCAGTGAAGTTGATGATGCGCGACTGAGCATGATTGCAACATCGTAGCTCCACCCCCTGGTCTGACGACATCGGCGGGTGAACCTCGCAATAGTCACGCGGGCAGTTTACATCTATTGAATGGAACAAAATAATCTTGCAATTTAAATCTGAAATTGCAAGGTGTGCTGCAAGTCATTGATCATAAAGTAATTATGTGACGAAATCCAGTTGAGGTGGAATACATCCAAATTTGCACTGACCAAATTAATTCAAAACTATTTAGTACACATGCAAGAGTTGCACATGTAATTTCATTGAAATATGTTATTTAATAAGATTAAACAATTTGTCACTATAAACCCAACCATATGTTGGACAGGGTTTGCCACACTCCTCCTATGACTCAATAGCAATGATGGTATTGCACCATTCTTCACAATGCATGCTCTCTGGATGGCATGCACATGGGGATGGGTTAATATCAATGACGTATATAAACCCTGTATTGCCGATGCTATGTATTGGCCAATGAAAGGCTTTGAAGCCACTGGTCGGCCATATTGGCACTCCTCAGAAAAGCAGACCATAGAAATGAATGGAATTCAACAGCATTTCAATTAAATGTTTCAAGGACAAAATTACATGTATTTAAGTATGTTTTTCTTGTAATGGGGACAGTAACATTAGTATGTAAAAAAAAAAATACATTAAGGAAAAAATATATATTTGTATTATTATTATTATATAAAAAATATATATGTTTAGCTCACATAATATAATTTAAAAGTATGCATTAAGGTGTCTGTAATAGAATAAACATGGCAAAAACAAATGTAGAAATTAAATAAATGCATTTCTATAGCTTCCAAAATATTTTTTACACCACACCGGTGGGGAAGTGCCAAGATGGAGGCGTGGTGGCTTCAAAACAGCGACCCCTGTCAAGTCATCTAGTGTATATATAAATCATTGGTTATTATGGGTTATACAATATCTGTTTGATTGTTGTAACCATGGAAAATGAGAGAAATTGACTCTGAAAGTAGAAGTGTGTTGTCCTCACCATCTATGTTCAACACATTGCAAGTATCAGAAAAAATAGCCTAACATTGATTACACAGCTAAAAAAATTAAGTAGCCTGGAAATAAAGTGGGCAAGGATCAAATAACTTTTATCCGGCTATTGGTACAACTTCCGGCATGCGTCACTTACACACGTATGTATGCCTCACTAACACACACATAGAGGACAGTTTCACATTATTAATGTCAATGAAACACATGGATCATTAGTCCTGCACAGGTAGCTTTTAATGGCTAGTGCTTGAGTTGCACATGTGACAAACAACTGATAAATGTTCCCTTCAAAGTCATGTCTTTGTGTGACCAAAGATAGGATGTACTGGTGTGGTCCTGAGCTGAGTCAGATGGTGTGTGGGTGTGTGGTCTAATTCTACTATCCTTTTGGGTTCCAACAGTCCTCAAGGACTCCTAAAGGGAAATATATATTTTAGGCTTAGGGGTTAGGGTTACAATTAAGGTTGCAATTAGGGTTAGGGGTTAAGATTAGGGATAGGGTTAGGTTAAGGATTAGGTTTAGGGAAAATAGGATTTTGAATGGGAATAAATGTTTTGGTCCCCACTTGGGTAGTAAAACCAACGTGTGTGTGTGGGTGAGGGAAGTGTCCTGTGCCTGTGCCGTGATGACTCCTAGTCAGCCCTATGAGTGGGAGATCATCCTTGTCATAATATTGAAACATTTCAGTCGCACACACAGCGTTGCATGACTGCTAGAGACATTGCCTGAGGCGACAGCTGTGAAATTGTCACTCGTCGCAATGTAACTTGGCAGCACTAAATATCCAAAAATATTCTCTAGGAGTATTTCTCCCCCTGCCTGCTGCCTCAATCTCCCTTCATTAACTCTGTGAGTCACAGTTTGATGTTGAATGAATCACCCTCTGTATCAACATTTACATGGAGGGATTATGAAACAGTATAATTTGTGTTGGCACCATAGCAGTCTGCAAATAGTGCAATGATAAACCAATAACTGTCTTGGTACAATAAACGGCAATCAGAGGAAATTGATTAGTGGGGGAAAATGAATGGATTTCTCTGAAACTCTCAGCTGTGTTGAAGTCATACTTCCTGGGTTGAGAAATAGTAGGCCTATCGCAATGGGAGCATAAGTCGCTGTTCTCACAGTGGCGTGGCTTGATACTGGAGCCATGTAGACTTGGCTGTCCTGGTAACCCATGATACAAAATGTCCTGATAACCCCTACACAATGTTCTGTGGTGACAGACTCACAGCCTGGGGAACATGGACTGGAGACAATGGGGCTACCTATCAAGTGGGTATTCTCTCCAGCCATGTCTTTTCAAGAGATTGCTATCATAACTGATAGCTGGGTTTGGAGGTCACGTGCTGTCCGTCCATGTCAGTCGCACACATGAAAGGGCTAGCTCAATTAGCCTAGTTAACAAAGAGGCTATAGCTTATATATCTGTGGGTAATTGGATTGTAAGTGCTTCTAGGGGTTTCAATGGCTCCTTTGGAGTTTGGGTCTTCAGCTATCAGACCACAGAGTTCCTGGCATTCACAACAGACAGACGCTACCAGAAATTGGGCCTGTTCCCACTACTGTAATCGTGATTCAGTCAGTGGAAAGAAAAGGGCAAGTTTAGGGTATTGCATCATAATGCTGCTTTTGTGGTGGATGGTTCTCTGTTAGGGAAAATATCTGCAGGACTTTTTAACAGTGACCAGGAAGATAAATGACAGCAGAGTAGCCAACCATACTCGGCTTGGCCTCATTCTGGCACGGCCACAGCTATGCAGGAGATTACGAAAGCAGAAATTCCATTGCAGCGACAGGTCTTTTTGCATAAACAAGTTAGACAGTGGTGTTCTTCTCAGGCAAACGGTACCTGCTGCTCTGACTGTGCTCCTGTTTTCAGGCTCTAGAAAAAACCTGCTCATGCTCCCCAATGAAATTTGACAAAATGTTTATTTTAGTTATATCCCATTTTTCTTAAAGATATTTAATGAAGACAATAGTTAGACAAATTAAAAGAAAACAGAGAAAGATCCAAAGAAAGAAGAAGAGCCTAATTTATCTCATTAACCAAACAGAACAGTTATAATAAAGCTTCATAATTTTATTAACTTATTAACTTAACCCTATGATGCCATCTGGTTTGCTCTTTTATTAATCACATTAAAGATGTGTCCTTTGAAGCAGGAGCAACAAAGTACCTGTCACCTTCCTCTAGCCTTTCAATGGAGAGGAGATTCAATTAGCTGGCCTCTGTCAATGTACAGTGGGGAAAAAAAGTATTTAGTCAGCCACCAATTGTGCAAGTTCTCCCACTTAAAAAGATGAGAGAGGCCTGTAATTTTCATCATAGGTACACGTCAACTATGACAGACAAAATGAGAGAAAAAAATCCAGAAAATCACATTGTAGGATTTTTAATGAATTGATTTGCAAATTATGGTGGAAAATAAGTATTTGGTCAATAACAAAAGTTTCTCAATACTTTGTTATATACCCTTTGTTGGCGATGACACAGGTCAAATGTTTTCTGTAAGTCTTCACAAGGTTTTCACACACTGTTGCTGGTATTTTGGCCCATTCCTCCATGCAGATCTCCTCTAGAGCAGTGATGTTTTGGGGCTGTCGCTGGGCAACACAGACTTTCAACTCCCTCCAACGATTTTCTATGGGGTTGAGATCTGGAGACTGGCTAGGCCACTCCAGGACCTTGAAATGCTTCTTACGAAGCCA